ATGGCTCTTTTCTTGGTCCCGCAAATGGTCAATGAGGGATATTAGTAGTCTATAAAGGTAAACAATGGTCAAAGATCAAATGGAGAATTCGTTTTATTTATTTATTGACCACCCTTGACCACGAGTGACCACGGCTGACCACGCTTGACCACGGCTGACCACGCTTGACCACGGCTGACCACATTTTTCACTGCAATTTAAATAGTAAAAGACCACGGCTGACCACGCTTGACCACGCTTGACCACACTTGACCACGAGTGATCACGGTTGACCACACTTGACCATGGTCCTCGCAGTCAAAATGACCGTTTATCTTTAAAATCTGACTTTTATGGTTAAAGTCGGTCAAAACATGTCCAATGGGGTCTCCGTTTCCAGCACTGTGGTCGCTTTTCCCCTCTTCCCTGGGCCTTTCTTACCATACTGCACCAATTTGGACCTCAGATTGTTTCTGACAAAACAAGCCAATTTCAGCATAGAAGACTTTCTTACTATGCTTATAGGTCAAGCAGGGCAGTACTTGGATACACCCAGTGCACCTGGGCTGTGGGCCTTTTGGTCCAACTTGCTCAGGACTCGTAAATTGGGTTGGATCGATAGAGATGGTGCAGATTTAGGCCCAAGTTTGAAGCATTTTCATGGTGTCAGACTAGTAGAATTTCTTCCACTTTGAGGTCTCAACACTGGGAAGCTTTCTTACAAGTCTGGCTGTAGTTTTTTCACTAGTCCCTGATCGATTTCACTAGTCTTTACTAGTCTCCACGCGGAATGCCCGCCAATCCACGTGGAACACCCACCAAACCGTGGAAATCCAATGACAGTTAAACGCACTGCGACTAACAAGATACAACAAGATCCAACAAGATCCTACCAGTACCAACGACAACTTGTCCACTCGACAGCATCAACTCGAAAAGCAACCCACAATCAGCCCGAATCCATCCAAAAGTAGACAGCAACCTACACCATGTCGATTACCTTCACAGCCGCCCGTGATGATCTCCTAGCTTCGTCCGCTGACAAACAGAAGAATGCACTTGCCCATTTCAATTTCTTTCTCAAGATGTACTGCGTCCAGATTGGAATCAATGTCATTGAAGCCGATGCAATCCCCTACCATGGCATCCCTCGCAAGTCATCCAAGAAAGTAATATCCAAGTTTTGGGACAAGGCGATCGGTGCCTTCTTCTTCTACATGGGTACCTCAGCTATGTGCCACATCAATCCAAAAAGAACGCGTCTCACTTATCAAACTACGTACGACTTCCTCTATCCGTGATCATCTCTTTGTCTGTCGTGTTGAACAAGCATTGGAAAAGGTGGGAGCGCCAAGGTTGTTTGGTGAATGGACATGCGAAGCACGCCATGCATTCTTATCTCGCAATATATCAGGCATCTCAATTGACAAATTTCTCTTATACGGTGGAGAGAATGGAAACGATATTCGCATGGATCCCCGCTGCTTTGTCGACCACTTCAATGCTCTTGCCTCGGTAACACAATCCATCCACATGGAAGTCAAAGAACTCCGGCACATGATGCACGATATACGCAAGAGACAAGAGGGATGGGATGACACCTACAACCACTACGTCGTTGGCAAAATCTACAACATGGACAACATGATACAACGAATTCAGAACTACCTGATCCCTCAAAAACCAGCACTGCCACACTTCTTCAAATGTGTCATCAAGTTCTCAATCAGCAGCAAAGGTCTCACCAATCAAATGCCCCTAGCAGTGATTTTCCCTCTTCCCAGGGCTGCACTGAATTTAGAGATTTCTTATATTGTGTGAGTTTGGAGTGTAAACCATTCACAGAAGCTTGGTCAAAAGTCGAAAGCAGCAGCCGGAGCCTTTACACTCAAACTGTACCCCTGCCTTCCATCCTCCCGCGAGGCAGAGGTGGAGGGGCTTTTATTTCTCTGGAGGCATGTAGAGTTCGCACGCAACACCACAGCTGTATCTGGTACGGATATAACTTATCAACACAACCCCAAAAGACCGTGGCAGTATCTTTCTTAGCGGCAGCCAGAGTCACTCTCTACTAACTTGAAAAGACTTGACTCCAGTCTTCCCAGGCCAAAGAGCTCTTTGCCACGCACGAAACAACCAGAATTCACCGACGCCCCGCTGGTACCGGTACATGTAGCTACGGTAGAGCTACCACTACTAGTAGCTAGCTAGCTAGCTAGCTAGTAGCAAGTCTCCGAGTGGGAGTGCCATGGGAGCCACTCAGAACGGTTGGCTCCTGTATCACTCCCGCTCCCGATATTGTTTCGAAGCTCACGGCAGCTCACAATGTCATGATGAGCTCTCTCAAGGCACGGCAAGAAAGAAGGAAAAGGCCAAAACCTCACCGAACCGGCGTCGGGGCTTATTTGTTTGCTAGCTGCTAGCTAGTGTGAGCCTTGGTGGGTAATTACTCCAGTAATTCCTGGTTACTGGTTACTTACTGTACTTTTACTGCCTTTATTGGCCAGTAGTTACTGCAGTCAGTAATTCCTGGCAGTAATAAATCTGCCAATTCAACAGTAATTGACAGTAAATGACAGTAAAAGGACAGTAATTACCCTATTTTACTGCAATTACTGTGATTTACTGCCTTCAAATGGCTTTAAATTACTGTACCTGATTACTGCTACTGAGGAATTACTGCATTACTGCCATTACTGCTACTGTTTGGCCCCTCCAGTCAGTAATCAGTAAACAGTAAATACCAACCAAGGTGTGAGCTCCGCACGACAGCTGTATGACATGCATGTACTTACCGGTGGAACGACTTCAATGGCTCTTTCTTTTCACCGCTGCGATCGCGTTGGATCGAACCTGGCAAGATCCGGTGATCCAGTGCCTGATCCAGACTTCTTTGGGTCCAGCACGAATCAACGAAGTGCCTGCACGAATGCGACGGAAGACAGCAGTATGAGTAGTTAGGGTAAAAATAGGGTTAAGGATGCATATTTGCATTAAAAAATCCCAAAGGAACCATATTTTACCCTGCCTACCTGACTCCAATGTGGGAGTCCCAAAAAGAGACTTCTTGGACATTCGGATGGCTTGTACAACCCAAATGCGAAGAATGACTCTTGATTTGGCAAGTCACATGGTTTCATTAAATCACTTTTACCACCACGACAAGCTAAAGTTGAAGATAAGGCTTCCATGTTCCTCGCGCCGTAGGGCGCCATGCGGCATGTGGGATTGGAACATTTTTACAGGCACCTAACCCAAAGCGGGCATTTATTTTTAAGTGCTTATTTAGTGCAATGTCCTTCAAGGCTTCCTTGACACTTGTGCTGGGGAACTGCGGTTTATTCACTAGTAGTACTACCGGTAGCCAGGAGTACAGAGTACAGTACTTCTTTTGTACCAAGTCTTAGTTTGAAGTACTCTGGCTGCACAGTGTACTCTCCAGTGCCGTGCATTATTGCGAATTGAGCCTCTACTGAAATTGCGGTACCACCAGCCACCAGCACACGACTGTGCTGGGATTGTGTACACTGTACTACTAGACTAGTAGCAGGTGAAAGAACCAGCTCACTCAGCAGTACCGTAGATTGCTGTGATCCAAGTGAGTTGCCTGTTGCTTTGCTGGTTCCCCACAGGAAGGCTTCTTCACCGCTCCACTGCCCAATCTTGGTTTTGGGTTGGCAACTCTCTTGTGGCGCTTGCTTGGCTGGGACGACTCAAACTCACAATTCCAAACTTGGACAATCCACTCACAACAACAACGCCGCTACTTTTCTCACAACCACAACAATAATGATCATGTACACCACACTAGCAAACACCGAACCCACACTCGTTGTCTCCTGCGACGACCAAAAGATCAGCCGCAAGCGCTCTCGCAGTGAATTGCAGCGCACAGCCTCGGAACGAATCCCCGAAACCAAGAGGCGCCGCGTCTCCATCACCAAGGCTGTTGGCTTCACCGCCACTGTCACTGTCGTTCCCACTGTCTCCACTTCCAACAGCGACAACTGGTACAACGATGCCGAGGCACACAGCTTCAAGGCTAACGTCAAGCGCGATGTCGTCTACTTGGCCAAGCTCTGCAAGGAAAACCGCCTCCGCGACATGGACCACACTGAATTCTGCTCCGTCGGTGTCGAGCGATACTGCTGCGCTCCTGCCACCCGCAACCAAACCAAGGCCATGAAGGAACAACGCGTCCGAGCTGTCCTCCAACAACAAGCCGCACAACGCGCCATGGGCATTTACGACCCCGAGGCCATTCGTGCGGTCGCCACTGGATACTCCGAGCAATCACGCGACCGCGCTTTGCAATTGGCCGCTCGTCTTTGCCAATAAGCAACAACACATCACAATACAATACAATACGGTCTTCCAGCTCCTCGCTTCCAAAATACAATACATGCTGTCTTCCCGCTCCTGCTTCCGCGCACAATAGAATACACTGCATAAACAAATAGACTACTATAGAGTACAAATACAATACAAAACAAAAAACCTCTTCTTATTAGTACCTCAAATATCAGCATTTGATAGATGATTAGCCGCACAGAGAGCTATTGATCCATTGCTGAAGCCCCTCACAGCCGGAGACGAAGCCTGACGTCGAGCTACCAAAGGCTCGCCCCAACGCAGCCCGGCAAGGAAGACCTAAATTCTACATCCGTTTCATACTGGTTTGTCCTTCACTAGCTAGCTAGCTAGCTAGCTCTGCTTCCCCTGACATAACCGAGTAGCGATACGATACGGTAGCATGTACTACTAGTAGCGAGCAAAGCAACTCCCGAGGAAGCAAAGAAGCTAGCTAGCCAAACTAGTAGCCCGGTCGGACGCTGTAGAAGGAGATACCCAGCTGGAAATGCCGCTCGCCACCGGCGCCAACCCCCACCCCACCAAAGCCTTTGTGGCTGGCTCTAGCTAGGTAGGTGCTCTCTTCTACAGTGGTGGAGAGGACAAGTAAGCAAGCCAACAACTACATGTACATGTACCGGTAGCTACTATTAATACATGTACTACTACTACTTTACTGGCTTGTGTTGGGGAGAAAGCTACGATCAAGGGAACAACATCCCCCGCCCATAGTAAGAGTATGGCATGTGAAAACTGCTTGTGCACTTCATGCTTTGGAACAACGCAGCCAGCCAGAGGACACTGTACACTGTACCGTAAGCATCCGGTTTGGACTCACCACGCGCCCAAGACACTACTAGCTAGTACTCTACTAAGTCGTAGTCTATTAAGCGATTTGAGCTTTGCGGTGAATGAATGGTGATGAATGGAAATGCGGCACCAGTGTGCAAGTCTCACGTTTTCGCCTTGGTTCCTTGTAATCTTTGCCTTGCGCATTCTACGATTGATGCTTACTTGAAGAAGAGCACCACCAAGTCTTGGGATCAATCTGGACGCGAGTGGCGTGCAAAAGTGCAAAGAGCATGAGTGAAGGGCGCTCTCGAAGGCTCGAAGGCTCGAAGGAGCGTTGCATCAGCTGTTGCATCTACCGGTATGCAAATCTATCTGTTTATTTACTGCAACAAACTCAACTCCAGCAGCTTTCCAGTTTTTTCAGGGTTCAGGGCCATTCCATCACTCCAACACAATACTTGGAGTAGTAAGACTTACTTGAACTCTTCTTGGCTGCTTGGACACGGGAGCCTGAGCGTTGCCCCACTCGATCTCTCAGGTTCTTCGTACTCTGTGCTCTGCGGCATCAACAATATTGACAACACCAGGGCCCAGTCACCAGTTCATCAAACCAACCCACAACAAGACATCTTGGCCACTGGCCTACTACAGCTCCTACTACTATTAGCTACAGTAGCTACTAGTAGCAAGTGGTGTCTGAGAGCAACTTGTACCTGGATTCAAGGGAGTGTGTCGTCGCTCTGTAACTGACTGTCACTTGGAGGACCTCGACTCAGAGGCTGGCTACAGATGGCAGCGCGGAGGCTGGACGTGGAAATATATAGTAATTCACCGTGGAAACCGGCGAAGAAACCAGGAAGTCCCCCGATTGGCGATCGTGGAAAGTCGCGAAAGTCGTTAATGTCGCGTAAAAAGTCGCGGTAAGTCGCGCGACTTTGCGAAAGTCGCGGTGGAAGTTGGCAGAGTCGTTAAGAGTCGCGTTATTAATCTAGTTAATTACTAGTAAAGTCGCTAAAAGTCGCGAAAGACGCGAAAGTCGCGGTAAAAGTCGTTCTAAAGTCGCGCGACTTTTAAAGTCGCGAAAGTCGCGCGACTTTTCGCGACAATCGCGACTTTCTCAGGAAAGTCGTTATCTGCCTTATCGGGGGACTTCCAGGTTGAGAACATGCAGCCGGAGGCTTATGCCCTCAACTGTCAAAAAGAGATTTGATTCGATTGAATCATTCCCTTATCCTTATTAGTATAATCAGACTCTAACATCTTTTGGCCAAACCAACACTGTGTGCAACTGGACACACTAGCGAGTCTGTAGATCCGTCCAGTAGTGGATAAAAACTACTGTGTCCAACAGAACACACAATATCAGTCCCTATGTCCCTATCCTTAACAAGGAAAGTGTCCTTTATGTCTTTGGACATACCTACACCGTGTTAAACTGGACACACTATCGAGTCTACATAGCCAGCCAGTACCGGTACCCTTGTGACAAACTACTGTGTCCAACAGAACACACAATATCAATCTCTATCCTGAACGTGGAAAGTGTCCCTTATGTGACGAAAACAGCTGCAACAAACACACATACACACACACACACACACATACACATACCTAGATAAAAGTGTGAAAGACCCTCAGTCCGTTGAGGGCAAAAGTCGAGCTGTCCTGCCCTCGGACCTCGGAGACCGCCGAGCACAACTTCGCGACCGACATGAAGGAAGATTAAGGTACGATATCGACCATGGAAACTTATGGTTGAGTACAGCTTACATGCCAGTTACAATGCATCCGGCGCTATGTGATTGCTGTTGATAGAAGCAAAATCGATGACTAGATACCAGCCATGTATCCATTTCTTAATAATTTTATCTTGTCACGCTAGTTTTATGTAGCTAATGTAGTTTATATGCATCGATTCTCCAACAAGGTACTGGTACAATTTTTGCCTCTTAGGCGGTCACATCATGCACATAGCTCAGGCGCCCCTCACTGGAGTCGTCCGCGAGCTTGGCATCAATGGTGTCATCAGGAACCATTGCCTTGCTATCTTCGTTCTCCTCCAGTTCAAAAGTATCTTCAAAAGTAACTCTACTAGCAACAATGCCAGCCACAACAGCATCTCCTGTCACATTGGTGACGGTGCGGCAGCGATCCATGAACCAATCAATGGCCAAGATAAAGGAGAATCCATCAGGTGTTCCCGTGGTTCCAAAAACAGTGTTGTATGCTGTGATGATAAGGACCAAACTTGCAGAAGGAACTGGAGCTGTACCAGCACTTCCTACAGTGGCAAGGACACACAACAAGATGTAGTTTCCAAAAGTGGGTGTGATTCCATTCAAGATTGCTAGCCAAATGCATGCACAGGGGAAGTAGATGGCTCCTCCATCCATATTTACAGTGGCCCCCATCTTTCAGAAGGTGAGCGAGAAGGTGAAATTGCAAAAGGAATGTTAGCCTTCAATCCAGATCAGGAACACAGAATGGACAAGGGCCCTGCACTTACTGGAATCACAAACTTGGCCACTGGGTCTGGTACCCTACCGGATTCCTTCACACACCTAAGGGTGACCGGGATGGTAGCAGCACTGCTGGAACAAGCAAAAGCTGTAGTCTGGGCTGGAAGCAGGAATCGGATGTATTCAATAGGGTTTGACTTTGTCAGGAAGCCAAAGAGACCAATGTACACAATGACAACATGAACAAACATGGCAATTAGTGTGGCTGCCACCAAGTATCCAACATTCTCAAATGATGCCTTGAGGTCGTCTTGTTTTCCAATGGCATTGGCAATGAGAGATAGGACAGCAAATGGTGTGATCATGATGACCCAATTGATCAATGTAATAAGCACCTGATCAATTTCCTTGAGGAATGACACAAAGACTGATTCAGATTCCTTCAAGCCTTTCTTCTGCATAGACTTTGCCAATGCTGCACCAAAGCAGATTGCAAAGAGGACTACAGCAGCAAAGTTGGCGCTGACAAACGAGTCAAAGATGTTGCTGGTGATTAGCTTGGTGAAAACTCCATCATAGATTGTGTCACTCATGCTGATATCATTCACGGGACCAGAAGACTTTGTCACAAAAGTTCCATCCACATCAGCAATGTAGAAGTAGCTGCTCATGACATTGTTTTCAGTGATATTGGCATTGCAGGCCACATTGCCATCTTCATCATGCGACAAGTAGCTATCTTCTTCGCATCCAAGCTGGACTCGAGCTGGAGAAGCGTCTTCAAATTCGCCCTGGTCAAAGAGTCCCTTGAAAGAGAGGATAGAGATCAAACCAATGATGCTGGCAAGGAGGGTAGTCAGCAGATAAAGTCCAATCGTCTTCCATCCAACACTTGAGGCTCTTCCAACAGCCATCATATCAAGAACGGAAAGGACGACATTCACAAACACAAGGGGGAGGACCACAGCCTTCAGAGCTCGAATGAACATGTCACCAATCAGACCAATCCACTTCAACGCGGTTTCTTTGTCCTGTGGGTCTTCGGGATTCCAATAGCTCAATCCAAGACCAAGGGCAATACCGGCAGCCGCAAAACAGAGCACGGAAAGGACCGGGTATCGCCCAAGGATACCGCAGCCAGTGCTGGGAGTTTCAACTTGCTCTTCGGCTTCAGACTCATCGAAGGAAACGTTGGCGTTTTTCTTGGTTGACGACATTGTCGATAGTCGATAGCGTAGAAAAGTGTTGATGGCAAAGGGGAAGAAGTGGACCTTGAAGCTTTGCTTGTTCGCTGTTTTGTTGTTTGCGAGAGAACAATTTGTGAGACAATTGACAAACCTGGAGGGAGGAATAATCCAATCTACCCACCTTTCAAGCTGTGAATCTGAGTGAAGTCAAAGCTCTTTGAGCGAGAACGGTACGAGGCTGCGATCCTACTACGGTGCATTGTCAAGAATAGTGCAGAACACTGGGGTCCGATCTGGATTGCTACTTCCGTGCATCATCAGAAGCCAAGAAGCGCATTACAATATCTTCTCTCTTTCCACAGGAAAATTCTCTGTGGTCCTGGAATGTCCAATATTATCTCAATCTAGTACATCGTATATATTTTTGCATAGTTAATGTGATGTATTTGGGTTTCTGCTAAGATGACGGAGCATGTTTCTCCACTCCTTCAGCCATTCGATGGTGTCATTTCTCGGCAAGGATCTTCACGTGACCGGAAAAGATCCAGCGAATTTAATAAGTGAGTCAAGTCGAGTCCAAGAGACTCTTGTCTGCTCCCGCATTGAGCGCGGTGCCACAAACCGATCCGTGTGGGAGTCGATGGGACCTTTGACGACCGATCTCAAGGAAGCTTTCAGACCAATCGCCGTGAAGCTGGAAGCAGTATCCAAGTCTGACAGACCGAAGGGTTGACTTGCCTGCTGGCTGGCCTGGTCCCAAAGTCGAATTCTGACACCAGGCCAGATGCAAGCCTCCTCTTTTCGATTGTACGATGTACCGTTCTTGTAGCTGGGAGGGATCCGGAACAAGTACTGGTACATGCCACCAAACTGAGCCAATCTAGCTACTAGCTAGCAATGGTGATAAGCCGAAGCAAAACTCAAGATCTTGGGAGACTGTTCCGAAAACGGTATCGGTACGAGAAGGAAGGATCCAGGAACGGGACGGGAGATCCCTTTACTGTGAGCGAACTGGATATTCTCCAAACTCAAGATCTTGGGAGACTGTTCCGAAAACGGTACGACAAGGAAGGATCCAGGAACGGGACGGGAGATCCGGTTGCTTTATCTTTACTGTGAGCGAACTGGATCATCTCCAATCTCTTTCCTCCTCCCAATCAGATCCATCTTCTTATCAGGACCAGAAAGGATTTTCTCATCAAGCATTTTATCGTGGTCTGGTTGGAAGTCCACTGCCTTGGATGAAAAAAATTCCGATGGGGAATGATCCACATCACGGTCCTTGGCCTGTGGTGCTTTGAACATGTGCTAGCAGTATTCCCGGTTGCAATCTAGAGACATCTGCTTTCTTCGGTGTCTCCAACACGAGTGCCCTGCCTTACTGTAGCGAATGCCATGCTTCATAGGTGCTGCCACAAGTATGAAGATAGCTTTGGGGATAAGGTCAACAGTGCAGCCGCAACGCCTGGAAGTTTCCCAGGAAGGTACAAGAGAGAAAATTCCAGTCGACTGAACATCCTCGACAAGCCCTGAAGTACCGTATACCAACACCTGCACGTGCAGCTTAGGCCGTCAAGACCGATGTTTCTTCAAACGCAACCTGTATAGCGTCGTCTTCGTCGACGGTGGCCTTCGAGTTCTGCTGGAAAAATCCTTCGTGACGACACTTGGTGTGATCCATATCCGGGTCAACTCTTGGAGGAGTTCATCTTTCTTGGCTGGTAAGGGCTTCAATGAAAAGCAGTCTGCACCATTTTCCAAGAATTCTTCTTCCATGTTGTTTGCTGAAAGCCCACAGATCTTTGTCGTCACTCCTTGAGCCCTCAAAGCCCGTACCGTTTCCGTGGTTTGAACACTGGCCACGCACGCGAAGTTTACCAGCCTCGACGATTACGTTATCGAAGAGGGAGAGTTGCTTTTTCGGTTTCGGCCTTCGACTTGAGTTGTTGCATCGTGGTCGTGTTCTTCATGTTTGTGTAGAATCGCACGGCAATGGTGATACACGCAACAAGAATTAGTATTGAGCCCAGAATCACAAACATATTGGAGGCGGTACTATCGAAAAACATCAATGGATAGGCTGATGGATGCGTCTCGAGCTGCTACTTCGATCAAATCGGGGATGCGAATGACCAGTACCGACAACAGAAGGCTTGCTGTCTGGAGTGAGGAAGTCAAGTGGTACACCAGGATGGAAGGCGAGGACACTATATGCTGCCACATGTTGAGATTGCATCACAAAACTTAACAATTGGATATGAAAAGCCCCTTCTCGGCACCAAAAGCTTACCATTGGGGTCCGTTTCTTGCACAAGGCGAATCCTCTCAGCTATGAATGGCTTGAAAGTATTGGTTGCATCTAGAATAGCCTTGCGCCTTGCAGGATGCGAGTACAAGTCAAGATCCAGTGCAGGTTCGTTACCCTCCACGGGAAGAGCATAGTGCACTGGGTAGTAAAAGGGCTGCTCTGTGTGTGATCCTAGCTTGAGGCCACCTGATTCGTCATCTGGGACGAACCCACAAATCCGCTGTTGTCCACATGAGGATGATGACTCTTGTAGAAGTCTCTTCACTCTTCTTCTAGAGCCGCTATGTTGACACTGGTTACATTGACTATGACTTCTGCCGCCTGGAAATTCAGTCCAAGCGAGGAGATATATAGGTGTACAACATCTGCTCATGGAAGAGGCAAAGGAATTGGTCAGCGCTGTATTAGAACATACGGTTGCCAAGCCATGTCCATGCAACTAACTAACTGCCCTCGCTTAACTCACCTGAAAGCGCTCTCTCGAGCAAATCTGAAGGTTTCCAGCCACTTCCATTTCCGATTTCTTGCTTGCCAGTGGAGAGAAACAGGATTCTTGTGTCCAAAGTGCAAAAAGTTCATACTGCGCGCAGGCAGCCTCTATACTCTTAGCAATATCGTTGGCCCTTCGTTCAAAGAGGATACTTTGCTCTCGATTCTGACTGGTACCGTAATGCCCACAGCCAAGAAGGCCATGCTAGCACCGACTCCTGCCAACAAAATGATGGACGCAAACAATTTGCGGCGTTTGCCCATGAGATTGTTCCTTCCGGTACCGGTACTTGAAGATCCTAACATTTCCCCGCGATGATCCTGCATCTTGGATTCTGCGCCGCTCTCCAAGTCTCTCAAATGGTCTTCTTCCTGCCGTCCACCATGGAAGGAACTTGACCCCACTAATGCTCAATCCCTATTGAATAATTCAACCTACCTGGAAGACAGGTTTAGAATGGTAGTTATGGTAAATATAGGGTTAGAGTTAAAGTTTACTCGGCATTTTTGTATAAAAACGATAATGTACCGCAACTACCTAAACTCCAAAGTTGTCTTCCTGTAGTTCCGGCCAAATTCAGAATTCACACGAGTGGATCTTGCTATAGCGTTCCCTCATGCAAATGCAGTGCTGTCTCGTCTATTGATCAAGCCTTGTAGAAGGAGAACCGCCAGAGTTTGCATCAGGAGAATGCACAAAGCAAGGGTCTTCCCTATCGAGGGGTGGGGTTCGACGAGTGCAGGTAGACAATGAGGGTAAAGTACTACCGGTAGTATGTATCAAAATGGTCTAGTTCGTATAGGTGTAGGTGTAGCTGTAATGTATCCATACAAAATTGAATGTAGTAGCCCACTGCGCACCGCATAGCCTAAGAGTCAATGGGAAGGCCGGTTTCTTGCGGCGTTGGCGGGGCGGCCGCCTGACCCGAAATGGGTGTATGCTTCCAAAATGGCGTCCAGACGGGGGTATCTTGGGGCAATCCCTGTTCCTGTCGAATAAGCCTCGCAATCTCGGAATGAACTGGATGAATGAGCTCTCCAGATTGAGGGCAGACACTGTGCTGATCTTCCTCTCGTACATTTTGCCATTTCCAGCCATCCGCGGCAAACTCAATCGTGTTGCGCATGGCACAGTCTCTTAGGTGACCGGACGAGTGCCAGAGATGCTGCTGGATGCGACTCGAGTATTGCTCTCGTCGCGGAATGTGCACCACCGAGACTTGTTCGTCAAACGTCAAGCATCTTCGAGGTCTTTGTGTGGGTGAGGCATCCAGAGAGGAACAAGTGGAGGACATGTCGTCTGTCAGTTCTGTCGAAGTAGAGACAGACGAGGGAGATCCAACCTTGAAGAATGAGCCCAGCGAGTCCAGAAAGGCGGCAGGCTTGCCCTTTGGGTCGCCTGAATTGGCAGCTCCTTTGGCAACATCTTTCAGGGGAGCCTTGACAACGGTTATCTGTCTCAAGACGGACCCTCCTTTGGCGGAGGAAGAAGTGGCAGCGGCTACACGCTGATCCACAATTCCCAACTTGTTAAGAAGACCAGATCGCAACCGCTTACTGGAGGGCGGAGATACCCTAACTTTCTGGTCGCTGCAGGTACTACTACTAGAACTACCGTAAGTGCTTGTCGATTCCAGGCTGAGCCTCCGAGACGGCCGAGGTGCAGAAGAGTCCATGGTTATCTGATCTTGCATATTCATTATGTAGTTGTGAGCAGCTAAATGCAAACGCAAGGACAAGGGTTGCTCGCTTCCGCCAAAGGATAATGATCCGTGTATCCTATCTGGTACCAACAAGCAACTGAAACTAGCAAGATCCCCATGAAAATATCAAAAGGATGTGGCGTTCGTATCCTCTTAAAAATTTCATTTGGTCGGAGTAGACTCTAGACCTCTAGGTAGAGCCATGAGGATGAGAGCCCCATCTCCATTGCCGGTAGCTTGGGTGTCCTGGGTAGCAGTTGCGTGGCACCACCGAGAAAAACAGTTGTCTGAGTCGGAACATAGGTCAAAGGGATTTTCCGGAAGTGTTAGATTCTCGAAGATTCGTTCATTTGATTCATTCGATTTGATTCTAGCCGTTGCTTTGCAGAAGACCGGATGCAATTTCAGTCCACGCCATTGAGCTGTCATTGACACCACCGTGTCAAAGAACCAAAGTGAAGGAGGACATTTCGGAACAAGGGTCTTCTCATAGTCTTAGTGCTCCGGAGTTGGACTGGTGTCATGAGTTGTCAGGTTAATGCCGGAGTTGAGCAAGACATGCCACGTGATCTCACTTATATGATTTATTAAGAAAGAGCAGTCAACCAGGGCCACGTCATCCTCAAACCTCAACACAAAGAACAAAACTCCCGCAAGCGATGGAAAGGCTGACAGGCTGACACCAAAGCACCAACGCAAAAAGAATGCTGACTCGCCTTAGCAGAATGCAAACTATCTATTAGAGCATGCAACACCGGGGTACCCCAAATCACAAAACCCAAATGGTTGGCATCGAGTATCGCCGGCCGACCTGAGTCCACTGAGTCAAATGTGTTTTAGCGAACATGTGGATTCACGTGGTCGCGCAAATCGGAACTATTTGCGCAGCCCCAACACCCGACCCAAACCCATTTGACTAATTGGATTCAAATTTACTTAGGGGACAAATCTTCCACATCATCAATGACGTCACAGTAACATCACAATAGGTGCGAGGAGGTTCTCTTTTGCGAGCAAGCATAGCCTTGCTGCGAGTATGGTCAACCTCCAACCATTTGGGTTTTGTGATTTGAGGTACCCCGGTGTTGCATGCTCTTAGCAGGGTTTTCTCATACGCACGGTGCCAAAGGCAAACACATCTTTGCTGGAGCTACCTGGTACCGTGGTAGCTCAGCAATGCGTTTGCCAAGAGTTGATACATTTGTTCTACCAGTAGATCTAGAGTGCCATGCCGCCTTATCATTATTAATCAACGACTCCATCCAACTGGCTACCGGTAGCTAGAGACCTTTGATTGTGCGGATAACGAGATATCGATTGACATGTGGCGGCACTTTATCATTTCACTGATTGGCTGTATCTCTGTGGCCAATGCGTTTTCCTCTACTCGTGCGCGGTTGCTGCCCTTGACACAACCATCGAATGCTGCTCGGTCTTGTGCATCCAAGTCATCGACCGCTCTCCTTGTTGGTTTGACGCTTTATGGCTCTCAGGGGAGCAGGTACGACGTGGAAGTCCATTCACTAGTAGCTACATAGACAGAGGGCGATGTTGTCAACTCCTTTTTGGTCCACACCGAACTCAAAGTACTATTACTCTCTCATTCGTATTCTTATAAAACCGGTACTGATAGATCCCCACTGGTGAACTGGGCAGCTTATGAGCTGGGACTGGATTTTACCATGGGTGATCTCGCCAAGAATCCTCATCCATTTGGTCAGATTCCATGTCTTGTGGATACCGACAAAGACGCGACGGTTTTCGAATCCGGGGCAATTTTGCTGTACATGACTACCCTTGCCAGCAAAGACGACAAAAAAAGCCAAGCAGAAGTGTATTCCTGGGTTTGTTGGGCCAATGCGTCTTTGGATCCAATCTGTTTTCTAGAGACACCCGACGGCAAAGTTTACGATACTGGATTGAAAAACTCCAACAATAAACGCATCCGACAATTGGACCAAATCTTGGACCAACGACAATACTTGGTATCGGAGGACAAGTTTTCAGTGGCCGACGTGGCCGTGGCGTCCTACTTACTCTATGTGATCCAATTCTTTCCCGATATTGACTTGTCGCCATGGCCCGGCATTGTGCGATATTTGAAAGATTGTGTCTCTCGTGAAGCCTATGCCAAGGCATTTGGACCTCCCGTCCAGGCTTTTTTGGTGGAGAAACTAGAGAACATGGGCAACAAGGACAAAAAGTTGTTTGGAATGTTCTAATAACTAGATAGCTAGCTACAAAGATACTTGAAGGATCAGACACGGCAAATCGGGACGTGACTTTTACATCATGCTACTTCCTTTTGCAGTTACTTAGTTCCTATGGAGGGTACGGTAGACAACGTTCAAAGGAACGGTTCCCACTTCTTCTCACGTCGGCAATTGGAACGAAACTCAGCATCTGCTACCGCAATGATTCTAGACAGAGCTTCTCGAGGTACATGTATCCCAAACAAAGCGAGGACCGTGTATATTTCCCACAACGAGTTCTGCCCCTGTCCTTACCATTGCAAGATACCGGTCCGTACGGTACCGGAATGCCATTGTAGGTTCTTGCTGGCTAACTACCGGTAGCGTGCGGGGGTAGACGCGGACCTGTGCTGACGTTGGCCATTGTCAGTTGAAGTATAGTGCCACGATGGCGACTATCAAAGGAGTGCGGACCGGTCGGGGCAACGCACAGTATCTAGGTCAACAAACCCAAAGCGCAGCTCGTGTCTGGCTGTTGGTTGGAGGTTGTGGGAGTTAGCCTTGCATCGTCCGCACTCTTCCCTTTGGCCCTTTATTTCAAACTGTGTAATTGAATTTTGCGAAATACTTCTAATTATTATTTCTTTATACTCTTTTTGAAGTACATAAACGTACGTTTCAGAAATATCTTTGGTCAAAACATCTTTTGATGCTCTCGACGACCGCTCTAAGAATGAGGCGATCCGTTTCATCACCCAATTCCAAATTCAACGTTCCAGAGTGCCAAGCTCATTTTTTCTTTCTTTCCCTCTACATCGTAATCCCACCAAAGAAATCACCATGTCGCCTTATCAGCCCACCAAGAATCTCTTTTTCCTGCTGCTAGCAGTTGGCGTTGTGGCTATTCGAGGCAACGATGGTGAGACCCCGCCGGCACCCCCAGGGCCAGGTCAAACCGAAGTTGCTTCCGGACCGGAAGATGCAGGCCGTTGTGTCTTTTGTGATACGGCGCAAGGCTTCGATGCGGATCTAGAGTTTGCCGGAATCGATTGCAATCGTTGGTCTTTGGTTGCAGCCTTTGCTCCTGTAGGCGAACAGTGTATGGTGCTGCGAGCCGCAGCTGTGCAATTCTGTGGATGCCCCACAGAGGTGGAAGAAACGTGCACCCTTTGTCCCCATGGCACAGAAGGATTCAATCCCGATCAAAGCCTTTTGTTCCTCAGGGATTTGACGTGCGGTGATATTGTTGACATGCCTGCTGTGGATGGACCCGAAACCTGCACGTTCATTGACCAGTTCTCCTACATGTGCGGCTGCCCTGGTGTTGTGCCAACCTGCTCGCTGTGTGGCCTAGACGAGAGTGGAAATCAACTGTTGATGGAACGCTCCGAAGAAGTCTTGATCCCTGGCAATAAAGAAGAAGGTCAACACGACGTGACTTGCTCCGAATGGGATAAGCTAATGAGTTTGCACGCGGAACCCAACACGCCAGAGACAGCTACTAGCCGTTCCGGTGGAACGACTGCCTGTGAACGAGCTTTGGAAAAATCCGAAGAAAGAACGGGTGTGCAGTTGGAAGGACTGTGTGGCTGTCCCGGAGTGGAACCTGCCATGGAGTGTTCGGGATGTCCTGATGGACTGCACCTGCATTCTAGCAAGAGCGAAGAATGCGCTAGACTTGCATTCCTTGCATCCCACATCACAAATTCTACCAAGTGTGAGATTGTTCAGGAAGGTGCAATGTCAATCGATTGTTGTTTGGAAGAACCGGAGGCAAAGCCAGAAGAGATTGATGTCGGCCCGGTTTCGAGCACCGCCGAAGCTCCCTCTTCTGGTGCGACGATAGCATCGTCTTTGTTTGCGGGTTTTGCCACTGCCATGGCAATTCTCGGATTCGTGCTCTAAAGGGTTCGTTGAAAAGATGAAAGGGCGAAATGATGGAATCCAGCCTTGCTTCTCAAAAACAAAGATTTTCATGTGGAACATAATCTACTGGTATGCATAGAGTTAAAGAATCTCAGAGTATATGTTTCTATCCTTTCCTTTGGCTAATGGTTTTCAGAATTGCACACATCCATTACATCGAAGCTAGCTCCCTACCGGCACTGACATCCATACCGGTACCACTAGCTAGCTAGTAGCTAGTAGGAGGAGGGGAAAGAAAGGTTGGACGAAGCTTGAGGGAAAGGCAAGACAAAACATTGAACGCGGCTTTCGCCCCATGGAACCAATGCGATTGAAATTCGCCACAAGGGTTAAAGTTAGCTAGAGCAGAAGAAGTCAACACCCACAACAACACAGGCAAAAGCGCCTCTAACAGAGGTACTCGACCCAAACCTTTCGCCTCCATAGATTGCGACGATCTCCTTCCATACCTTGGTTGTCTTCTGCCTGATCTTCCCTGTGTCAAGTCATTTCGATTATAAGTTTGGTAGAACAATGACGCTCAAAAAGGTCGCATGGACATGGCTTCTGGTCGCCAGCAATTTTCTGGTCGTGGCCCAAGATACATTCGCCGATGGGCTGTTTCCCAATAATAGTGAGGAATACAAGGCGAGTGTGTTGGACAATATCCACTCTGTCTTTGGTTCGCCATATGGTGGTTTCAGCCGTGCCACCCGCAGTCGATTGGCCGCCTTGCCATTGCGGCTGCCGGATATTGCTGCGTTTGAGGGTGACAACAATAAGAAGAAGACAATGAACCAAGACGATGTCTCGTACGTGGAGACCGGTGATGGTCTGGGGAGAGGCTATATCTGCCGCGTCTATCACGAAGATTCACTGGATGCGAACAGCTTGACAGATAGTATGTTTGATGTGCCACTGTTCAATGATGTGAATGACAAGGAGGAACAAGAGAAAAAGCAAAAAGAGGAGGACCTGGACGAGGAAGATGATAATATCTTGGAAGACAACATTATTCATCCAGACTCCATCACTCATAGGCAGGATGGAGGACTCATGGAAACACAGCGTCGATTGAAAAAGTTGGAAGGGGTCTGTTCCCAAATTCATCTGGGCTGGTGGAGCTATGAATGGTGCTACGACCAAACCATTACACAATTTCATATTCATGTGGACAGTGCCAGTGCTGGCTTGGAGCTACGAGATGTCACTAGTCTGGGCAAATTCTCAGAACGCAAATTTCAAATGGCACACCAATTTGGACTCTACACGGGAAATGACGGCCTCTTTACACCCAACAACAAGTTAGCGGAAGAGGAACCCGAATTGGCACGAGTCGTAGATGTCTACTCCAAAGGAGATGTTTGTGATGCCACGGGAGAACCACGAAAAACAAATGTCAAGTACTTTTGCTGTTCCGACCGTCTCATGGAAAAGTACAAGGGACCTGTCCTCCGCAATGGGAATCCATTGTCTTCCAAAATTGTCTCCATTGTCAACCTGCTGGAAGATCCCGAACAAGTATGCACCTATACAATTACCGTTTGCACTCCCTTGTTGTGTGAAGATGTCAACAGTGATGACGATGATGGCTTACTGTTTGACCTTGCTGCGGAATCTGCGGCAAAACAACAACAGAAGCGGACCTTGTCAAAGAAGAAGAAAAAGAAAAATGAAACCATTCGGGACATTTTGGATCGAGTGGTGGGCAAAATTTGTGTCCAAAGCAGCACTCCTGCGGGGTGGTGGTCGTATGAATACTGCCACAAGAAGCATGTTCGGCAATTCCATGAGAGCATTTCCATCAACGTTGAAACTGGCATGGCTTCCACTGGAACAGAGGATATTTACATGCTGGGATTTTACAACGAAGATAATGACTCATATCCTGACGAAGATGAGTGGAAATATTTGGTCAACACGACAATCTCACCCACTGGGAGTGGCAGTGGCGCTGTCAGTGGTGGGAGTGCTGGTGATACTCAAATAGTTTCGTATCTCAAGGCGGAATTCACGGGTGGTGACGTCTGTGACGACTCGGATGTAACAGATGCCGCCATCAAGGCCGGATCCGTCGGTAACGGTCGCATCGAAAGATCTTGCTCCATCCAATACTCTTGTGGAAGCGCCTTTGATGTCAAAGTCAATGAGGATCACACCTGCCACTACATTGTGGAAGTATCCATTCCAGATCTCTGCCATCACCCTCTATTCAAAGCTCCTGTGGCCAAGAAACGGGTTGTCAAGTGTGTTCCAGTTGATGGCTCGGGTGAATGGGGTGACGACAATGACACGTATGAGCAGCCATGAATGACACGGCTATTATTTTCTCGATAATTGAGGGGCGCCGTCTTCGCTCGTGCTTGATTCACACTAGTTGCCACAAATATGCTGACGAGACCACACCGCCCCTCGCTAGCCTGTGGGTGGAGTGAGAGCAGGCTGCCATTGGTATGCGTCGAAACTACAGGAAGCGGAAAACTCATTGCCTATGATGGTTGACCACCCGGCTGGGGACACACGAACGTTCGACTAGAAATTCCATAAAGTTTAACCTAAGTGCTTATCCTAAGATGCAAACAGAAGAAGCCGCCATAGATCCGCGTTTTGAATGATGAATCTGAGTTTCGATCTGGTCCGCTTTCGCCCAGGGCCACCAAACTATCCGTCAAAAGCCAAAATGTATCGAATACGGTGCTGCGATTCCTTGTAAACCAAAAACTCGTTGTGGTCAAAAGCTGAGCTTTTGGCTGCTGGAACTGCCTTTGGGATCCCCTGCGGTACCGTCACGCTCTTGCCATCGATTTCCAACTCTGCCTCTTCGGGTGGTTGTGTTCGGCCTTTCGCCAAGACGCTGTCATACCCAGTCGGCGCTGCCGTGAGGGAAGGATCATCTGTTAAGATCTCGTGTTCTTTTCCCAGAGCTGCCTCGACCAGAAACATAAGGATGGTTCCCTGTGCTCCTGACACATACCAAGCAGACTTTTGGTGTTGATCTGCCAAGTAAATGCCCTTGCCGACGCGGCCGCCAGAGTGAGGCATGATCCGAAGGCCACTCTTGAGAATCGCCGCCACCACGGCCACATTTGTCCCGTGCCAAAGCAATTTGCGGTTGGTGAGTTTGGCGTGCTGGGCAAACCGATTCTCTTCCTTGTGTCGATCGACTCTCCACACTTGACGAAGCTTCATTGCACCTGCTTTGGTGTCTGCAAAATAGGACTCGATGAGTTGGTGATCATCGTCTTTGTCGGGGTCCAGGAGCGTCAAGTCAGCCGCCAATTGTTGGTAGTTCGCGTCGGAAGGATGCGGTTGCGTGTCCTCATCACCAGCCGCGGATTGCACATTCCGCTGCATCGTCTGCGCAGCTTCAATATCTGCGAGGGTGTTAAGCATCTCGTATTTTGCCTGCACCGCCTCCGTGGTCTTCAAAACGGGACCACGGCTGCGACCAAAGGCATGCGGAATCAAGGTGTAAAACTCAGAGGTCAACTGGGAGAGTGTGGCGCCAGTCGCGCCATTGTCGATTTCTTCTTCAAGTTTTTCCAAAACAGTAAAACCCTTGCTGATCTGCGTCTGCGACAAGGCCCCTAATGGCAGCTTTTTGGGATCCAACTTCATTTGAGACATGGCGGACTTGAACATGTCTTCGTTAAAAATGAGATCGACCAGTTCCTTGGTGGTGGCATCCAGTTGACAAGGCAAGAACGTTTTGGCCGCGCCAACATTTTCGACCATGGCTGCGGCAGCCGCCGCGTCCTGTTCCATTTCCACTACGGTGTATTTGCCCGTTTTGGATTGAAAGCTGTCCTTGTCTTCTTGATAATCTTCCCACTTGTTGGCCGTCTTGCTGCGAAACTTTTTGGCAAACTCCTTAATGCCGGCATCGACGTCGGCAAAGGGTCCCTGTTCCTGTGTCTTGCCAGCCTCGCCCACACGACCCCACTTGGTAAAGACCGTGTAGTTGTTACCCGAAGATGATTCAATGAGCTGGATTTTGTAGAATTTGTTATTGTTGTGGTCCAAATTGGTTTGATTGAGCATCACATTGTAGTCTTGATAGATTTTGCCACAACTCTTGAGACCAGAAGACGCTGCATCGTCGACAGTCCCGACGCCGCCTGTCGCAGCGACGGAAGAAGCGGAAGCCGGTGGTGGAGCTTTCTTTTGGGGCGATGCCTTTTTGGTGGTTGCTTTGGCGGCTGGTTTTTTCGCGCTTGTCGCCACGACTTTTTTCTTGGGTGCTGCCTTTTTCTTGTTGGGTGGTGGCGGCAAAGATATTGGAAAGTGCCCATCCACGGTGCGGGCAATGGGACGAGTGGTGCCACTGGATGTGTTGGTTTGCGTCATGGCATTCAAGTCGACGCGATACTGAAATCCACTGGATCCACTCGTGACGACCCGTCGTGACAATCGAGCTGGTTTGTTGGATGCCACATAGGTGCCAAATAAATCTTCCACTTCGGCACTATTCTTTTTGTCATATTGGTACCACCCATCCGATTTGCCATCGGGATCATTTTGCAAATAATAAAACCAAGTTCCATCACCATCGTCCTCGTCGTCATCTGAACTGTCCGTTGAGGTTTTCTTTGTTGCCAAATATTCGTACTTTCCCGTCAGTGGTTGACGTCCTGGAACGGCCTTTTCCCAGACCACTCCCGTTTTGGATTTGAAAATTTTGGCAAATTCACTCTCGGCATCGTCCAGATCGCAAAAGGGACCGGCCATTTTGCATTGTCCACCGGTTCCTGTGCGACCCCAACGGGTAAACACGTGGTATTGAGAGGCACTCGTCTTTGTGGTTTTGCTGTTGCTTTTGGCTTTTTTGTTGGGATGTTCTTCGACCAATACTTGCAAGACGTAATACTTGTCGCTGTTGATGGAGGGATCCACCAATGCCAATCGGGCGTGCAGAGTGTCGTGGACTTGGGCACGAGATGCCAAGGCAGCATCGATTCCAGCCACTCCATCATCGACTTGATGGATCTTGTGAGGTTCGGGAGCCGCATAGCCACCGAGACCTCGTGTCTTGGCGACTTTTGGGGGAGACGGTGTGACCGATTTTGCCTGTTTGGCCTTGGTGGGTGTTGTTGTTGTTTCTGTAGTGGGATCATTGGGATCTTCGGCATCGTCGTATCCTCCCTTGCGTTTGGCGGCTTCTTGTTTTTCGGCATAGTTCTGCGCTTCGTCGGCCGATGCAAAGGATTTCGTCATGGTGCGACCGGCACTCCCCACTTTGCCATAGGAAATCTTGACGTCCGTGTCGCCTTCCCACTCAAAGCGCCAAAACTTGGTGCCGCTCGAGTGTTCCAAATAGAGGGCGGCCATGGTGTGATAATCGATACAAGTAAGCAATAGTTGTCTTTTTCTTTTGCTTCTTTGGCGTGGAATTGTTCTTTGGTTCGCACAACAAGTTGTGGGAGTGTTCGTGAGATCGCTGAAAAAGAATCTTTTGATGACGGTTCTCGATCTGGCGGCAAGTTCTTCGTTGGAGGCAATTTTTTTCAACGGAAGCCAAGACTGGTAGGGTTAGAGCTTATTCTCCGTCCGTCAGTCTCCCCTGTCTCGACGATTGACCTTCGGTGAAGCTCATCGAATAACCAACACTCAAATGAATGGCCGACGCTCAGCCACACCTCTCATTTTTGCCGTTGCCACAATCAATCAAGCAAGAGAAGACCCACAACACCATGTCATCTACGAATACTACTACAACGACGACAACGACCACGAAACCCACCGCCACTTGCGCTCTCTGCGGAGCACCGGCTACAAAACGCTGTTCCCGCTGCAAATTGGCATGGTACTGTTCCCCCGAACATCAGAAACAAGATTGGAAACGCCACAAACGAACGGCGTGTGACGATGCCTTTCAAGCCGATCAGCACACGTTGCACAAACGGGAATTCGACAGGATTCGATTGCACTACCAATTGGACAGCGAAAGCAAGTCCAGTGAGATTGCCGAGTTCATCACGTCCGGTGAGAGTGTCACCCCTCAAGGATTTTCCGACAAATTCGGAACCACCGTGGAAGAAGCCGTCGTCTTTTTGGAATGGATCAATGTGGGTGTCAAATTCAAAGAAGAAACACTGGATGCGGCCAAAAAGGCGGGATTTGATACCAAACAGTTGAACCAGAATCGGTGACATGGCATATTGAGAGAGTTGGAATAGTTAAACCAGAATCGGTGACATTATGGCATCCAAACACGACAATGAATTGACATTAGATCGATTGCATTTGGTGGAATGGAGGAAAGATATCAGAAGGTCTCGCTATACTACAATAAACATGGCACTATAGTATAGCTGATCCTGTTGCCTGTTCCCTTTTGAGTTGAGGAGATTTGCGAAAGTAACGTTGAGCACAATAAATTCAATTCGCGTGGTACAAAAACAGGAAATAGAAATTATTGGTGGAAAGTGTACCAGTGTACTTTTTGTGTTGCGTGTTCATATGGAGTCAAGGTTATGGGGCTACAAAGTTATCGTACCCAGCACTCCTTCCTCTTCTGTGTCTTGCTCGATCATTGATATTGATACCAATTCTTAGCAAGTGGTATTTTGCTTCAATTTGCCTTTGTGAAGAAGCAACCTGGAATAGACGATCGCATCTTCCCGGTGCCAGCAGGCTTCGCAGCGATGGTGGCATATCCGGCACCAACATATACGAGATCCAAACTCCTCGTATATCGAAGGAACAATCCATACTGGAGAATGGATAACATGTATTTTACTTAGTACTCATGACAACTGGGGTGGTACCGTACCGTAGAAATTGAGCCTTCGAGAACGCGTCACCCAAATGCATTCTACTAATACGCCTCTTGCTCTTCTTCGTAGTTTGATTGCGTCTGCTTCGGTTGCTTCTCTCGATCTTCCCACTGATCCAACAGCATTTTACCAGCTTGAATGCGCAACCATCGTCCCATCAATTCTTCTCCATCCAACTCGAGCGCCTTGGCCACGGCCTTGGGGCTCTGGAACAAGACACCACAGTAGCCTTTGCTGCGTCCACTGTCTTCAAATCGAGGAAACTGAACCTCCATAATGGTTCCACAGTGTTGCAAAAATTCTCGCACGTCGTGTTCGCGTGTGTCGTAGTTCAAACCAAACAAGCGGACCCACAGAGGTTGTCGTTGTCGTTTGGATTCCGTATCACCGGCATCTGCTCCTTCCTGTTGCTTTCGTTTCTTGTTCTTCTTCTTCTTCAACAAGGCAGCTTCCCGGAGCGCTTCATCGTGTCGGTAGGGACACTTGTCTCCCTTGCGGCATTTGCCCTTGGTCTTCCAATTGATACAGTCCTTTTCCGAGTTGTCTCGTTTTCGTTTTTTGTTGTCTTTATCCACATCTTTGGCTTTTTCTTTGTCGTCGTTGTCATCCTGATCTTTGGTTGTGGCATTATCCGTTGTAGCGGTAGCCACGTTGGGTTTAAAATCATGAGAAAAAGGACACTGGTCGCCTCGTTTGCATTTTCCCTTTTTAAAGGCAAAACATTTCTGCTTTTTCTTGTCTGCCTTTTCTGCTGACGGCACTATTATCATGCAACCACCGTCACCCTCGTGAACAAACTTGCAGTCGTCTCCATACGGACAACGATGTTTGGCCCACAGGTAGCAGATTTCCTGCGCTCCCTTTTCGGCATACGGACGGATGTAGAGTGTGTGTTTGCGGTTGGAAGTGGCTTTGCGACCACAACGAATGGACGGCATCGTCAGAGCTTTCTGATAACTGTCGGGAGTGCAAAAGGTCACAAATCCAAATCCTCGATGTTCCGTTTCTGTCTTGTCGTCGTCGTCGCCGCCGTGTTTTTGCTTTTTACTACTACTTTTGGAACTGTCCTTGGACTCCTTCTTCTTATTGTCTTTTGTCGTACCGGTAGCACCATCGGCATCTTCTTCTTCGGCATCCGGACGCTTGTAGATCAAGGCTACCTCCTCGACGGTATCTTTTCCAACGTGCTCTTCCATCACTCGCTTCACGATCGCTTCATCAAAGGAACTTGGAATTCGAGATACGTGGATCTTTCGAGTTTGGCTGTCATCATGGTTCGAATTCTTTTCCTCCTCCACTCCTTCCAGATCGTTCTCAACCTCTCCCTCCATGTTGGACGGATCTGCTTCAGCTGCCACCATGGTCAAAATATGTGAAAATCTTCAGAAAAGTGATTGAGAATTGATCTTTGGAATGGAGGGAAATTGGGTTCTGAGCCAATCGTTTTTACACCGTGTCCGTGCTCTGAGCATCTATCTTTGTTGTGCCAAAAAAGGGCTTGACCCCGATACTTGCCTCTACGGGTTGTAAGCTATGCTACACGTAGTCTGTACCACAAACAGAACGAGGGAAGATCAGTCAACTAGGAAAACGTGGTGGCGGTGCCAATGATAACAATTAGCCAGTTAGAGCGGGCTGGTGCCTGCACTATAGAGCAAAAATCTTGGTCTGAGGTGGTCTACTCAGCATTCGCTTCAGGAGCCTCCCCGTCATTGTCATCTTCAACTTCCTCATCCCCCACTTCACCTTCCTCATCCCCCATTTCAGAGTCGTCATCAGCGTCCTCTGCTGGTGGCAAAGTTTGGCAAACGTCACTCCAATCATAGGGGCCACGATGATGGCAAAACGACTTCAAACCGCCTCCGCGAGGGACGCACATAAACCAAATCACGTCAAAGTACTCATCCAAGGGAGTCTCCAAGACACCCTGCAACTCTTCTGCTTCTTCTGCTACTTCTCCATCTACCGGTACATATAAGTCCATCTGATACTCTTGATAGGCAAGATGAAACAGAGCATCCAGGGCATATTCGATTGCGACGCCTGCCCATTCACGAACCCCCCACTGATCTTGCGACAACTTTGCCTCCACATGATCCACCGTTGGAGATTGGCCAAGCTGCAAGAGCTCCAAGATAGCCTTCCAGTAGGCTCTATAACCCTTCACAACAATCTTCCAGTATTCCTCGGGAGGATCGTAATGAAATTCAATGGCGTCTGGAGGGATATAGTGAAGGCAGCACTCCTCCACTTGCCACTTAGCCAACTGTGGATTGTTGCCAAAAGCCCTCGCATCGAACGATTCCAACTCCTCGAATTTCTCAAACTGTTCTTTCGCAGCGCGGATAAGATATTGCATCATTCTCGGAGGTATCATGTTATCACAAAGGCTTTCTCGCTGGGCAACAGGCATGAGGGAAACCACTGTTTCAAAGAACGGCATGGCAGTTTCGTCCTCCCCTGGTGCTAGCGTCCCAAACAGCAATCGGCGCTCGTGATAACGTGTTCGATGATTGGAAAGGCAGTACTCCATGGGTGTTTTCCCCGAAAAGTCTGGTTGTGAAGGATCAACTCCCACAGATCGAAGATACGTGATAACATGAGGTTTCCACGTCGATGCTGCTAAAGTCAGTGGACTTGCCCCGTATTCATCTTGTAGGCCCGCGGTGGCACCCTGATCTATCAGAAACTTCAAAATCTGGATATCCGATAATGACGAATTCACATTGGCTGCGTAGCTGTGCAGTACCCTGGCACCATCCAGTGTCGCTCCATTTCCAAGCAACTCGGCCACTTTGTCTTTTAACTCTTGCATGACCTTTTCCGCTTTTTCTCTTTCAGTTGTTGCAATCCTTTCGCGGTGTTCTCTCTTGAACCCCTCAAACCGCTCGTGAACTGTTTGCATATGTTCTTGTCGTTCCTCTTCCGTCATGCCCTCGTCAATGACAGACAAGATGTATAATTCCCCTTGCTGCATTTGTTCCAGCATTGAAGATTCTTCGCGTGCCGAGTCTTCCAAGGCGTATTGAAGCGTTCTGATTTGAGAAGAAACAAAGTCACACAATTGTATCTCCTCTCTGCTGCGTTTGTGCCGCTTTGGAGGCAAGTAGATGTCCATGGAAGCTACTTGCTCTGGGCTGATCAATTGCATACTGTCGTTGTCAGATGAGTTTGACTCGTCAAACATCTTTTTGGTCAAGAACCATGCACCGTAATCATCTGGGTTTCTGCCTGCTTGGACGAATCCGAGTCTCGCAATGTGACGAAACGCTCTCAAGGAATGTTCCTTTTGTTCCTCTTCCGTCGGCTTGGCCTTTTTGGGTACTCTACAATCAGGGGCAATTACCGTCAAGGTCCACGGCAAAAGTTGGAGAGCCTGAAACATCATTTGCAATGCAAGATTTCGACCGCCATGGTCTCGATTGAACAATTTCACTTTCTTCATATAAACGAAACCACCGTGACCATTGTCCAGCTTGTCTTGTGCTTTGAGTTCTGGATGATCCATAATATTGGCGCGTCCATTTTCGTCGCAGAACTTCATAGCCACGCCGCCAAGTTCCGCATTGACTCCGTCTGCATCGTCGTGAAAGCCGCCGTTGCTGGGACGTGGAATGAGATATCCTCTTAGGAATCCAATTTTTCTTTTTTCCCTTTTCGAGACGAAGGAGTGAATGAGTTCGTCGACCAAAGCAACCTTTGTGATCTTTTGGCTGTGACCTGGGATGAAACTAAGAGATCCTTCCACATCGTACACCGACTCCTCCGACGATGATTCCTTCACTGTGATTTCCACGGTGTACTTGTTTCTGGAGATGGGTTCGATGTAGGACACCTTTCGCTCCAGCACTGGCTCCTGCTCACTCTCCGTGCTCTCGTCATCGAAAATGTCATCGATTGGTACCGGCGGTCCTGGTACTAGTAGTACATTTGGTTCTTCCATGGTCGCTTGTGCATTTTTTGTGGTTGTCTTCTAAACGCGGTCAAGCTGAGCGAACAAGGGGAACAACGGCCGAAACTTGGTCGCACACACTCAGTGACGCAAGTTTCCACGCCACGGTGTGTTTTCCCTGGTCCTCCTAGACGTCGGAGGGGCTTCCATTGGACCAAGGTCTCGCCAACAACGTTCCGAGATCTGCCTTGCCCGCACAGAACCAAAGGAAGCAAAAGGAGCATCCTTCGTTCTTTCATCAGTACAATATTTGAGTGTGGGAAACATCAGGGCAGAGAATTTTGGCGTTCGCGGCCAATTTTGAACAAGTGTCTGAGCCAAGTTTCTTCTCACCTTTTTGTTCATCTCGGAGCTTTGTTCTGCGTGCAGTGCACAGGAGTATTTCATAAAGTAGTGACACCTACAACGATAATGCCAGCTTGCTACTAATAGCTCGTTAGATAATCCATGATGCCCTGCACTTGTTGGTCGGTGTTGTTGGGCAACGTCGCAATGAGTGTGCTTCTTGCGCAAATTCTTGCCTTTGCACCGCTTGCAAATGCGAGGACGCTGCGAGCTGATATTATGCCGGTCAACGAGCAACAAACAACGAATCGAACAGCAAGTTCTCGTGTTTTGGAAGGGCCCCAAGAAAGAGACGAAGTGGATCTTAATCGTTGTCCGCGGCTCTGTCAAGAAGAGGGTCAAGACTCTGATGTATTTGATGCCTGCGTCCGATGGTGTGGACCCTGCTTGGAGGAAGATCTTGGCGATGAATTTTGCATCGATGAATACATGGAGTGGACTGGCATAGCGCCACCATGGCTTGGCATGGACATCAGCAACATCACGGAAGAACCCAAACCATTGTGCCCACTGGGGTTTTCGGCAGGAGAGTTTTGGTACACCAGTGATCCCTTTTGGAATCTTCAAAAGGTTCGTATAGTTGGTGTTTATAACAACACATCGGAGGAGAGCCAAAGAGTGCTTCCAGAGTTCTTCCAGATATGGACCAAGAACTTGGAACAAAATGACAGGCCTTATGTGCCCCCTACAGCTTTGGAGGAGAGCTTTGGTGACGATGTAGTCGTCGAGTCTGGGGCCACAGTGGAACTAGCAGTAACAATCGATCTTAAACTTGCCCCTGAGGATGATGACGCCATATTTATGAGAGTATATACTAAGCCCGGAGGCTTTGACCCATTGCAGTTTGCTCTTGTATCCGCCCAAATCACCTGCTTTGATGAGGTGATGCCTTTGCCACCACCACAGCAGGCATGCCCAACTCAGTTTCTTCCTGGACGAAGCGTGTACATCAGTGATCCTCCCTATGAAAACATTCGGGCCGTCCAAGTCACTGCAGACTTCAAGAATCTTCGCGACATGCCCCTAACCATCATGTCCGATCCGTTTCAGGCATGGACACAGGGTCCAAACGAGGAAAATTACGACAAGCCGCCCTCCGTAATGAACCCTGACGCCGATGGGCGAGTGATCCAACCTGGGGAAACAACCACAGTTTTCTTTACCATTGATCTGCGTGATTCTCCGGACTATCACTCAAAAATTAGCATCCGTCTGTACACCTTTGAGTTAGGGGGCAATCAAGAGGGCATCGATCTTGTGGATACAACAATAGTCTGCATCACGTAGCGCACTAGAGTACTCAGGCTACACAAGCTTCGCTTCCACCAATATTCCGGGGAGATTTAGCCAAGAGAAGTTAGCCTCTGCCCCACTCTGGGCCCAACCCAGGTCCATCACTAGCTAGGCCCCAGACGTCGACCAACTGAAGGTCCTAAGCCTGGCCAAGTTCCATGCCCCCGACTCCTGGTCCCACACTTGACTACGAGTATGACCAGGCTCCACTCCTGGTCCACGAGAGTACTGGTACTTACCCCTGCGTGGATAGACCCCAGGCCCAATTCCGTGTCTCACACCTGAACGAACTTCAGGACCTATCCCTGCTCCAGACTCCACTCCCAGACCAACTCCGGGACGTTCTTCTACCTAACTAACCTTGGTCCATCTCCAGGCCCCACTCCTGGTACTACACCTGGGCATTCCCAATGTCCACAGACGACCTCCCGTGGTTCTGTCTCCAATCTCAGCAGGCCAGGCGGCCAGCGGAAGTCAATAGGGGCCGAGTTATTCTGTTTGCACCGCGCAAGTGTCGCGGTCACGCAGTCACAGATGAGAAAGCTGGTGCACGTGGTTACCTAAATCCACTGCAGCAGTTGTATCAAACTTCAACAGCTGGAGGAGAAGCAGGTGGCCATGAATCCGAATCAATGCCAGGTTCAAAGGCAGCTGTGGCCTTAAAACCTTAATAATAATTCAGCTTGGGAAGCTTCTGGTCCAGGTCCAGGATGAATGAGAAAGTCACAAGTGACTGTTTCGCCGTGAGCCTTTACGCCGTGGCGTGACTGACTCCATCCCAAATAAGATTTATTAATTTAGCAGCTGATTTTGCTACGGCTGTACTGTACCATACAGTAGCCTTTTCCACACAGTCATTTTGAGTGCAGGATGACCCTTCTGATTTCAGAAAGGTCCTACAGTGTACTATTAATACCGTAGTAAATACTTCCTCTAAATAAATCCACATGAGGTCTTCCGTTCTGGAATTGGAACATTGGAACATTGGAACCTCAACCATGGGAGTTGTGAGTCAATCCACTTAGTCTACTTCTTAATCTTCGATCTCTTTATTCCGGTCGCCTCAGAGAAAAGCGTTCGAAGCAGGAACAGGCGGCCCATGCCAGTTCGAGATTTCACAGGGAGAGCGTTTTTGCATATTATTATCAGGGCAGACTTGTCATTATCTCTCCCAACAGGCATCCAAAAAGAGGAGGGGATTAGACAGCATCAAAGCAATCAGGGTCAAGACATCCAAGGTCATTATTACGGTAGGGACGGGTATTCCGGTATATCACAGATCACACACTCTGTAAGGAGTAGATGAAGAGCATGGACCATCATTGCACAGGGCGCTTTGCTTCCGTAGCGCTGCTGCTCGTGTTGAGCTTCCGCATCTCTTGCACCATGGCGCAGACATTGGACATTATCAACACTACCATTACTCCCATCTCCTACGTCATGGAACCCTTTGAAATCCTGGATGAGGACTGGTTCGTATTGGAATCCAATGATGATGCCGAAGCCAGTGATGTGAACTTGACGCTCTCCAACCATGCGCTCTTTGGCAATGCCTCACTGCGCATTGAGTTTTATCCGTACATGGACACCAGCACCAGCCATACACTAGCCACCGCTGAACCAGAAGAACAAGAAGAAGAATCCAAGACCAATGGCACCACGTTTACCATTTTGGATGACACGGCACCTGCTCCCACAGCCACCAGCCGTAGCAGCATGGAGTTTGGATGGATCCAAGACTTGAAACCTCACAATTGCTACGGGGCCACACACATGTCGCTGTGGTACAAGGTACTCGAAAGCCAGGCACGAAATGTTCAGCTGACACTCACCTTGTGGGATGACAGTCGTCAGCCCAGCAATAATACTGCAACCAATCTACAACCATTCTCCTATTCCGTCTCCCTTGAACTTCCAGATGAGGATGATGATACTACTCGTATCAGCGACGAAACTACCACTGACAGCGACGACGACAACACCTTCCCACAAAACCCGTGGCACGAAATCCGCATTCCCATCCAAGACTTTGTCCGGTTAGAAGAAGATCCGAGTACTAGTAGTGATGATGACCTCAACAATAACCGCACAAAAACACACCCACGATGGAATCGTCTGTGGGGATGGCAGATTGGGCTCGATGTCGATGCCCACACGACCGTTCTTGCCGTAGCAGACGATACTCTCACGGCCGACAACGACAATGACGACACGGTTCTTGGCGGCAGCGGCATTACACTGCTCGTGGACCATTTGGCGTGTCTCGGCGGCGGCGAAATGTTGGGTGCGTCCTTTCACTTGGGAGCCGACATGACATGGGACGAAGCGGTCGACGAAGGATTCTGGATCGAAGAGTTTTACAATTCACCCACTTCTCAAAACAATAGTGACATTATACTCGATGCAGATGGAACACTCCAAGTCGACTTTACCGTGCAAATGACCGAAGTATGGGGCGGTTTTAACGGATTCACCTATCTGGCACCGGGGCATGCCTATTACAACTTGTCCGGGGCTACCGACTGGCATCTCGGGTATCGCACGCGACAAGCTGCCACTCCCTCTGGGAGGACTCATTTGCGCATTGTCATTGCCGATGGCAGCGACTGTGTCGCCAATTGCAGTACCGACTTTTTTGAACATGAACGGTGGTACAGGTATGTATCGCTTGTATCGTATGGATGGATGACTAACTACTACAGTTAGTTGGAATGCAGGCTTGTTGCACACCAATCTCATACATTTTGCTCGATTCATCTTGCAGTTTTCACTACATTCTTGACGACAATACCACAAACGATGGTTGGGGAGATATTCACTTGCCACTGATTGGAAGTACCGATCCATCCACTCCTCTATGGCTCACCGGGTGGTCTGGACAAACGGGAAACAGTGCCTTTGACAGAGAGAAAATCAAGGGATTCACACTCGAAATCAACATTGATTCACAAGGAAACATGAGCTCCACCGTCGCGGGAGCCTTTGATATGTTTGACATGTCCGCCATGGTCGTGGTGTACAATGAAACAACTACCACCAGCAACGAGATCAGTGGCAGTTGCGTCGTCGAACCGGATCTCTACTTGCGTGAGAATGCCATGCAGTTTCAGCGCAAAGAGTTTTTGGGAAACAAGTGCTGTGAAATCTGTCAAGAGGATCCCACCTGCCTCTACGCACTGTCCACCGGACGTGATTGTTTCATTGCGGCCCATCTTGTACCCGACATGGTGGGTCTGCTGAATGACGAAATCTTGCAATCGGATTTGACTTCCTTTTGGATGAATGATCCTGTCCGGCGTGGAGACTTTTGCGATCTTTGTGACTGTCGTGAGGCGGACAGGACCATTGATTGCGTTGGTAAAGATCTTGTGATTGTCCCAGCCACTTTCTACCACGAGAGTGAGGATGGTGTTGGCTGGACTCCTCGAGTGTTGGACCTGCGCAACAACCCCAAGTTGGCATTGTTGGGCTCGGGATCGTTGGAGTCAATCGGGGAAAGCTTGGAAGAATTGTACCTACCAGAATCGATGCGACACATCTCGACGGGCAGTGTGTCGAACCTACCAAACCTTCGGGTTATGGAAGTAGAAGGCAATGGTGATGCGCTGACAAACGCCATCGTGGACGATTCTCAGGCGTTTGGTGATGTTTGCTGCTCCCTTGGACCAACGTCCTCTTCTTCGGGGCTCGCGTTTTGCAACATGGAAATTGATGCACCGGGAATTGATTCCATTTACCTTGATTATGTCTTTTACCAATCCGCAACGCTCTTCAAACGACTCAACCCCAGTTCCACGTTCATGTCGGAGGCTGCAGAAAGCCCAGGTGAGTGGAGGAAACTGTGTGTCAATTTTCATCAGGACGGTATCAAGAGGCAGGATGCCGCTCACATGTCACTTTTTCCTGCATCATTCAGAAAAATGTGCCGAGTACTGTACGATTTCCACTGAATGCCGATACTTTTCGTACGATCGACGGTTCCCCAACGCAGGTGAGTGGAGGAAACTGTGTGTCTCACAACGGCATCATGAGAGCAGGCCGCTCACGTTTTGCTTTTCCTGTATCTGCCAGAGCATTCGTGCTACCTTTTGCAGGACAGTGGGTCTGGCCCTGAGATTGCTCGGTCCCAAAAAGACCATTACGCGGATGAGGCACAGACAATCCCAGGTTACATTGCGGGCTACCCGCCGAGGACAAGACATGAAGTGGACGATGCCAGGGTCGTGGTCGGGCAAACCAACCTGTTGGTGAACCCTGAAAATGGTTACGAGGCGCAGTATGATTTGTCGCTTGGATCGTCTCCTTTGCGCGGTGCCGTTTGGATAGTACCCAAAGTGGCTTCATCGACATATCTCGATGTCACGTTCTCGCCCCCCAAAGTTGTCTTTTATGAATCCGACAAGATTGCCACAGTTACTGTGAGAGTTACTGGTGTCGTCACGGATGCAAACTCTGTGTCTCTTGTTGTTCACAATGAAGTCGATTCCTGTGACATGGCTTTCAGGCAGGCCAACGAAGCAGTTGCAAACCGACATAACACTCTGTTCATCGACGTGGAAATGCCTCAGTCTCCAGAAGTAAACAATGTGCCCTTGGTTGTCGGTATCTGCGTTGCAGTCTTCGGTGGTATTGTTGTCGCTATCGTGATTTACTTTGAGCGCAAACGAAAGCTCAGCGATGCAGTTTGGAAGGTCAAGCCACATGATCTCGTTTTTGCTGAACCTCCCGGTGAGTAAAGGAATTGTGGGTCACGCCCATCGCTGCGGCATCATGCAGCGGCATGCCGCTCACTTGGCGCTTGTTCATTTAACTTCCAGAGGTTCTTGGACGAGGAACGTTTGGCTTGGTCTTGAAAGCCACATACCGCGGGACTGATGTAAGTCTTTCGCTGGGTACACGGATCATGCCATTGGCTACTGCGTCTTTCTCACTGCTTTATCCTCTCGAACTTCAGGTCGCGGTCAAACGGGTCATCCCACCCAAAGAAAAAGGCCCCAAGCGGAGAAGCAGTCCCATGTCGAGCATGAACTCTATCGAAAGCGGTATCAAGGACGGCTTTGCGTCGGGTAGCCTGCAACTTGGCGCCACCAAGGGCCTCCGAGTAGGGACTGAAAGCATGCAGATGGGGTCGCAACAAACAGGAAGTCAGAGTAGATGGAGCTTGTCAACGCTCTTCTCTGCGACACGAGGAGGCCTTCGAGGAGGCCATGGTGCTAGCTATGCCAAGCTGCGAAAGGATTTTATTCAGGAGATGCGTCATCTGAGTAAGCTCCGCCATCCCTGCATCACCACGGTAATGGGAGCTGTAATCAGTAGAAAGACGGAACCAATGTTGATCATGGGTAAGTATGGCATCTGAAGAGTCGTCTGAAAGCAACATGACTTCTTACCACAGCTTGCTCTTCTACTCAATCAGAATTTATGGACCACGGGAGTTTGTATGATCTGTAAGTCTGTAATGGTCGTCGATCCGCTGGAAAATGGCACCCTTTGCAGTCTTTCATTTCTATTCCATGATTGCAACAAACTTTACTAACCTTCCTTCTTTCCCTCCTTTTGTCATGAATGACGGTGTTGCTTAGACTGCATAATGAGACATTGATCATCGAAGGAGGCAAGTTTTCCACGCCGACGATCTTTCTCGCTTTTTGCCGTCCAAAAGTCCCTCTAACTTGCAGTGCTTTCACTTCACGTGTAGAACTTTTGCTCCCAATTCTTCGCGATATCAGTCAGGGAGTGCGGTTCTTGCACGCAGCGGTTCCACAGGTGGTCCACGGTGCGTCGCCCAATTTGCTTACATCCTTGTCAGCGTGAGTGTGTACATCTGGTAATTGAGCACTCACTTCGATCTTTTTCTCTCTCTTTTGCATACAGGGGACTTAAAGGCAGCTAACATTCGTACGTCCCTTTGCTCATGTATGTGTTTGGCAAAATTCTGCTGGTTTGACTCTTACGTTCGATCGTTTGTTTTTCCCCAGTGGTGGATCAAAAGTTCCGAGCCAAAGTCGCGGACTTCGGCTTGTCTCAAAAGAAAAACGTTGGAGCGACTGGTACACCGTAAGTTCAGGTTAGTTTCCTCGCCGAGGACCACATTCATTCAATCTAACATCCTTGTCATGTCGCTCCATTTCATAGATTTTGGATGGCACCCGGTGCGTCAGCGTTTGATAGAACCTTTTTGCGTTGCCATCCCTTCTCTCACATTGGACCACCAACGTTTGCACAGAGCTGCTTCGTAGAGACGCATTGAACTCCACAGCTTCTGATGTGAGTCTTGCTAGATGGGTGGTTTTGAAGTGATGTCCATTTCTTGGCTGACTTTTTGTTTCTTTAAAAGGTCTACTCCTTCGGTGTCATTTTGGCAGAAGTTTACAGCAGGAAGGATCCTTACGAAGGTGAAGATGCCTCGGAGGTGCTTCGGTTGGTAGCAGACAGGAATGTGAACAAGCGCCCTGCAGTCGCTGCCCACATGCCTGCCCCTATCCAGTCTCTGATGGCTGACTGCGTTGTCGAAAATCCAGCAGATCGCCCTTCATTCGAGGAAATAGATCAACGCTTGAAGCGCGTAGACGCCAAGAGCGTGGAGCCTACCCAAATGCCGACGTCCAAGAAATCGGCCAATATCTCACTGTTTGACATATTTCCCCAGCATATCGCCGAGGCTCTTCGCGATGGAAAGAAGGTGGAAGCAGAACACAAAGACTGTGTGACCATCTTCTTCAGCGACATCGTTGGCTTCACTACCATCTCCTCGACACTCGACCCCCGAAAGGTTGCCAACATGCTTGACAGACTCTACAACCAGCTTGACGACCTTTCACACAAACATGACCTGTACAAGGTGCGTTGCTCAGCGACTCCAAGAAAGTGTGGCCGCTTTGGCCATCGATCGGGAAAAAGATCTTACCTGTTCCGCATCTTCTGATATATAGGTGGAGACGATTGGAGATGCATACATGTGCTGTGGCAACTGTAAGTAAATTATGAAGGGAGCGGAACTCGGAAGGAAACAGCTCAGCTGAAACCTCATTCTTCTCTTCTCTCGCCATAGTGGTAAAGGACCAACCCGAGGATCACGTGAAACGTGTTGCCGATTTTGCTGTTGATGCCATGGAGGCGGCTGGAACGATTCGCATTAACGAGGACGACCCCTACAGCAAGTTTCTTGAACTCAGAGTTGGTACGTTCCACCACTTTCAGTCTTCTCTGTCATACTCTGTGTGTGCCTAACTAAAGCTTTGTCACTTTTATCTTCTCTTTGAAAGGTTTTCACTCGGGGCCTGTGGTTGCCGACGTGGTGGGAACGCGCAATCCTCGATACTGCCTCTTTGGCGACACAGTGAATGTTGCTTCGAGAATGGAATCTACGTCGAAGCCGGGACGCATTCATTGCTCAAAGGCGTCCGCGGACCTTCTTATGAAGCAACACCCCGCCATGCCCTTGACATCTCGTGGTGAAATCAACATCAAAGGCAAGGGCGAAATGCACACGTTCTGGGTGCACAAAGATCAAGACAGGAAGTCCAAGATTTGGTCAGATGTACCAGAATCGGCCCTGGACATTTCAGACCTCGATGTTTCATTTGGGGCTATCGACGAAGGCAACGAAGACGCAGAACAGCCAAGTGGGGAACTAGAACTTGCTGAAGCAGGACAAGTTGTGCCTGAAGCCTTTGCGGACGAGCAAGAAAGCCTGATTGGATCCGGGAATCACGTTGAATGTTGAGTTTCCACTCCAACAAGAGATACATACATACATAGAATACATCAGCCTTTAGAAATTGATTTGGGAATCTTCAATTAACTCTCCTTCGAGTGTTGTGAGCCTCGTTGCAGTGACGACAAGCTCAACACCAAAAAGTCTTCCTTCTGTCAAATCATCGGAGTCAGGGGATATCCCCATTCCTTCTCTCATATTGGATCCCCAACGATTGCACAGAGCTGCTTCGTCAAGATTCGTTCTATACCGCGGCCTCGGGTTGAGTTGATGGGTGCTTTTGAACTGATGTCCACTTCTTGGCTGCCGTTTTGTTTCTTTTTAGGTGTATGCCTTGGTGTCATTTTGGCAGAAGTTTACAGCATAGAGATGTGATCACATTTACATTAAAATGTACCGAAGCGGTTTCTTTCCGGTTTGCTACCCTATCTAGCTACCGTCCGGTATCTTGCTGGCTTGATCAGACGGAACTGTACTTGCTCTTGGAGCCCTCCACGAGAAGAGGCGCCGTTTCACTCGATTGCGTCAGTGACGCACGTTGTCGCTTTTTGTCTCTCACCTTCTTGGCAAACTTTTGTAGAGTGGTTGCTGCCCACTTTTGCAAGGTGAAGACTGCTCGATCTCGATCGCGGATATCCCATTCATCGTAAATTCTCTCTTGCAGCAGTGACTCCATGATATCCTCCAAGGTGACGATACCCATGAACCCCGCCTCAATAGGCAGGGGTCTTTCGGCTTGTAGGGCCTTGTTGCCCAGATCGGGCCTGACACAGACAAATGCCATCAAGTTGCCATGACTCCTCAGTATTCGCAACCCATCGACCAGGTTGGTACGAGGACTGATGCATTTGGGACACTGTAGTGGCAATGTGGAAACCTCTCGTTTGTGATCCCAATCAATCAACATGAGTTGTCGTACCATCAAGACCCCCAGAATCCTTGTCTTGTCCGTGTCATCATCAGCCTGTTTTCGGTACACGGGAACACGGGAATACCCTTGACGATAGATACCGGTAAATCCCTTCCTGTCGAGCACGAGATCATCTGCAATGGCGTAGACATGACTGAGTGGAGTGTACACATCCATGACGAGTACCGTTTTCATTTGCAAGGCTCCTTCAATGAGGTCGACTTCGGTTTGGTGCAGTGGTGGTGCCAACTGCCCGGCGGGGTCTGGTTCTTCTGGATCATCCGTGTTATCGAGTATTTCATTGGCCTTTTCCATGATTTCTTGCTTGGTGTTGTTCCAAAAGAATTGTCGTGTTTTGGGTCGTTTGTGAATGGAGGCGCCCTTTGTGGTGGTGGGCGATCGTTGTGTGGTGTTGGTGTCTCTGGAATCTTCAAATTGTATTCGCACCAATGCCGAAAGTTCTCCACGGTTATAGGCCGCATCGTCTGCGGCTCCCTCCTCCTCGTGTCCATGAACCAAGTAATCTAGAACCATGGCGAGTGGTTTGGCAAAGGGGTACATGAGGAACATGAAGCATCGTGTCAACGATGCCAATCGATATCCCAGGTATAGCTGATGTGGACCAGTGAAAACACCGGAAGGAAGAATTTCTCCAAAGAACATGATGAGTGTAGTGGACAAAAGAATGGCCATCCAGCTGGGAACCAGTTTGTCCAAGAATAGAGGGAGTGTTTCGTAGAAGAGTGCATTCATGAGAAGAAGAGTGACCAGGAGGAGATGTCGATTCTCCACAAGGGGCAAGATTGTACTGGCGTAGAGCTTTTCGTCTTCATCATTGGATGCTCGAATAATAATTCGAAGTTGCAAAACATCGATCGTCAGCAGTCCCAAAAACAGTCCGGCAATCAGAGCGACGCCAGCGACACAGCCTATGGCTCCTGCCACATTGATGAAATAGTATTCTTCCGCCTCCTGCACCGTCTCAAACTCGGGGAGCTCCAATAGATGCCTCGCTCTAGTAGTAGTGCTGCTGCTGCCTCTCAGGAAAAACTGTTCCTGGTCTTCATCACACAGCGGGAGACCCCAAGAAGGGTCCGTTTGGTGACAGAGATCCTTCACTCCAATGGAATTCAGCAGTGAAACTGCTTCTTGCACAGCTTGCACTGAGATGATGTTTGGTGCTTCTGTCATGGTCTCTGCTTCTTTCTGTGCTTTTCTTTTTTTCTTTTGGCTTCGAGGTTGTTTGTGATACTATGATCAGATTGGTAGCACTGCAGCTAAACAGCAACCCTTGACTTGACTTGTGGTGGGCTTTGCGGAAGTGAGTGAGAACCGAATGGATCTTTGGATGCGATCTTTCGCGGAATGTTTCAAAGATTTAACAAGACCGTTCAAGCATTGTAGATTTGCATACGTTAAAGGACAGTACGGTACAAGCTGCCAAACGTACGGTATCGTTGTCTCTACCGTAGGGAAAGGCAAAAGGCATCACATCCGATTCATCATTCTACGACTGTACACCCAATCACTCAACACTTTCTACAGCATCTACTGGCTCTAGCTAGTGGCCTAGCTAGTAGCTACCGGTACCCCCTTGCCTTCTTTCAAATGAGAGGAAGGAGCCAAATCCAGTAGGCTTACCCAGTATAAAAAATTGTGTGGCAGCAGATTATTCATATTGTGCCAACCTTGGAGGAATGAATCGGCAGGAATAAAACTTGGGAAAGGCTTGGTTGATCATCGTCAGGTTGGCCCAGACAGATCTTGGCGGATATGAATCATACAGGTACCAGGTGCAGTCGTACAGTGCCCCGGAGTACATATTGTTGTGTCGAGGCCACTGCAGCCTTCAAAGCATCAGTTTCACGGAAATTGGGTTAGTCTAGCTTCTCAGAAATCAGTTGGATGTACAGCAGAGTTGGTTTCACGAAAGTTTCAGCAGTGTTTTTATAATAAAATTCATGGGACTGTACTAGCTAGTAGCTAATTTCTGTGAAACTGATAGTTTCACCTTTAGAAATGGGTTGCTTCAAAGAAATTTAGCCCCCTTTATGTGAAATTTACCCATTTCCGTGAAACTAACCAGCAATTTCACGGAAAGAGCACGGTTCGGTCACCTCGCGAGGTTACGTTCTTGACAAGAATCGAATCAACTGTAACTGCACCTTCACTCGAGCCTTGTACCGGTACCTAACAATACCTTGTAATCGTGGCATGTCAAGACTAGACTACTGCTTGTAGGCGCACGGCACACATGCCGATTGGAACAATGCACATGGGTTCGGCTCTCGAGTGCGAAGAGCGTTTTAGGCTCACTCTTTGAAACCAACTGACCCAAACATAAATTCTACAACCATGAAGCATCTACGAGTGCCTTTGCCGCTATCGTGGCCACTACTCCAGCCTACGTGCTGTCTTTCTCGACTGTGAAAACTCGTAGCAGCCACCGCTGGAAGCCCTCGTCTCCTCTGTCAGCATCATTTGCCGAGCCTGAAGAAGAAGGGCGACCTCTGTGGATGCAAATACTCAATGAGAAACAGTCGACGACCGATGTGTGGAATCGCCTGGAAGCCGTTGCTGCTTCTATCCAGGAGAAGAATCCAACCAGCGGTGGCTTTCTCAACTTGCAAGCCGTCACAGCAGAGGACCCAGATATCATTGGAGACCTGCAGGCCGCCAATGTCAGCTTTGACTCTCCCAAAACCATGGCTGATCTGATACTGGGGTATCTAACGCATGGCGCTGGGGGGTTCATCACGTTTGTGCTTGTGAATACGATTCTGTTCCGGCTTTGTCTTTGCGGTTCTCCGCCGGGCATTGCTGATCTGATTGCAATCGCCGCCGCTCGGTTGTTTTGGGAAGCCCAAGAGTGGGCGGTTCACTCTGCATGGTTTCATGGCGATGAAGATGGACGTGCCATGGACATGTTCAAAAACCACGACCGTCACCACGACATACCGTACTACCACCTTTCGGTGGAGCCCCTACGCCTGGCAGTGGTTTGGTTTTTCGTCGTGTTGGGAATCTCCACGGCGGCTGTCAACGTTCTCGGTGCTTCTCCTGCCATTGTGGCAACATCGTTTGCTTCCTACCAGGCAAGCGCCCTGACGTACACATTTCTGCATGCGGTTTGTCACTCTCGTATTCCCCTTCAAGGGTACCTGAAGAATTGCAGAGAAAACCATATCAAGCATCACATTTCACCGACGCACCATCTGAACATGGGGCCAAACCGAATTGATAAGCTCATGGGTACGGACTCCTTTGACGCGCGCCTTGCCAAGAAAACGAGATTGTCCAACATGACGAAATGATGCGGTTTATAAGGGTTGCACGGACCAGTTTTATAGATATATTACTTTAGATATAACATACAAGGGTTGCTTTGGGCACAGACCTACATCGTATCAGTGCCACGCTGTCTCAGATAGAGGATCTTACCTACTGGGTAACACAGTGATGTTCTCCAGCTTACTCGGCTTATAGCTTGGATCCGTGCACACACGAATGGAACGTCAGTCCAAGGCACCAAAAGCAGCATCATGACATCAAGACGACCATGATATCCAAGAGAAGTCCACCATCAAATTAGTTCTTTCGCCTGGTTACTATTATTGACAGTCTCTATCCAGTTTGCATTTATTGTCATCTTCTATCTTTTGAGAAACCTTTGACAATCACGCCGTGTCTGAGTTATCACCATGTGGACGTCCTCTTCTCTTCGATCGACAGCTGCTCGGCTCCGGGTATCTCGCCATGTCACTTCATCATCATCATTATGGCCATCCTCCGTTGCATCTCGTCACTACACAGTCCCCGTGGTCTTGGAGAGTGGCGCCATGGGGGAACGCGCCTTTGATATATTTTCTCGACTCCTTCGTGAACGGATTATCCTTGTGAATGGCGCCGTCGACGATCACATGGCTTCTTTGGTGACGGCGCAATTGCTCTTTTTGGAAGCCGAGTCGCCCAATCAACCGCTCTACATGTACATTAACAGTCCAGGAGGTGTCGTGACGGCTGGAATGGCCATGTACGATACGATGCAATACATTCGACCGGATGTTCATACCATTTGCATGGGACAGGCGGCATCGATGGGATCACTCCTCTTGGCGGGTGGTGCTCCCGGATGTCGATTTGCGCTACCCAATGCCCGCATCATGTTGCATCAACCGTCCGGGGGTGCGCAGGGAATGGCCTCGGATATCGAAATTCAAGCACAAGAAATCCTGAGGACCCGGGCCAATTTGAATAAATTGTACGTGCATCATACGGGACAACCCTTGGAGGATATCGAACGAGTGATGGATCGAGATACCTTTATGGATGTGGAACAGGCCATTGCGTTTGGAGTCATTGACGGTACTTTGGATAAGCGAGAGTCACAGGAAGAAGAGGAAAAGGATCCATCCGAGAACAGCAGTGGCAAGAGTGACAAGAAGAGTGATGGCTAGTCAGCCAGCTAGTGACCAGCTGTAGCGATGGATGGCTGTGGTACACTCCGTGGATCTAGCTTTTGCAAGTGCTTCATGCATTTAACTACAATAATCATGATGAAGTTTTGCCGGTATAGATGGTTTATTTGGTTTATTTGTTTGTTTGTTAACGTGCGTGTATCTAGATGGGGATGTAATAAAAGAAGAAATGCCCCCAAACGAATTCACAAGTGCCTGGTTGGCGTTGCACGGGTAGTACAATCAAAAGGCAGGTCGATAATCAAAATGCTCTTGGGGGACTTCAACAACGATGGATCCCGGGCAGGAATCGGAGTCAACTTGCTACTAGTAGTCGACAAGCGACGTCCCACAGTGTTTTTCTTGGAGGCACTCTTCATTTTTTGTGAGTAGGCAGAAGTAAGGACGACTTGGGGCTCGTGAAACGTCGAGTTACGAAGAGGTTTGCGCGGTGGGGCGCTACCGTCGGTGGTGGTCCATTTGGTGGCGTTGTTGGCAGCTGCAAGCCGTTCGTTGGCGGAGCGACGGCGGGGCTTTTTGAAGCTCTTGGTTCGGAGTGGCATTTGTGGAGTCCGGTCTCGATTATTATTGTTTTTGGGATGGCTGTTGTTGCTGTCGTCGTCCTCACTCTCCGAAGACTCGTCGGCAACAAAGTCACGCTCTGCAAAGGATGCAAAGGATGCAAAGCAAGAATTCCTGGTCTTGGCCACACGCACAGACGGCACTTGCAGGGGCATGCCGTCGTCGTCGTCGTCGTCGTCATGGAGGTCTTCGGGGAACAGACTTTGCTCGCGGGTCCAAATGTCAAATCCCAAAGTAGTGTTGTGGCTCCAATTGTTCATGTTGGGGTTGTTTTGGTTGGCAGAGATGGATGATGATGTTTGCAGATGGTTGATGAACTTGCTGAGTATCAGATTGTGAGAGCAAGCAATTGTGGTCTCTCGAAAAGCAAATACTCAGCCAACCATGTAAAGTCACATGTTCGGTTTACGGATGCACGTGCGAGGTTAGAAACTGTGACAACATCACGTTCAATGGAGCCCGACAAAAGCCCTTGGTGCGTGCTAAGAGAGAACGATCACGCAAACTAAAAGTAGTTCGTTGACCAGGGACTCAGTGGAAACAAGGGAGGAACAGAGAATTTTGAGCCTCGTTTTCAGCCTACAGCGTTGTATCGTAGCAATACAGTAGCGGTAGGTAACCAGGGACTCAGAGAGAAGAGGGAAATAGGTGCCGCACAAGGAAGTAGGAATCCTGGAGAATGCAGTCTCGATGGACAGTGCCCTACTAGCTAGTTCACTGCTCAGCTGCCGTACTTCTCTGTCGATCAATTCTATTCTATTCTATTCTATTATTCACGCAGCCATTCACCCTGAAAATCTGATCGGAGATCGAAGTCGGATTCCAAACCGCAACTTTCTGAAGGTCTTTTGACGCTGGCTCTTCCAGCAGGGCACGCACCTCCATTTGGTCCTTTCTTCCCTTGCAGCAGCTCGTGCACGAGCTCCTCTCATGATGAATCGAATCGAATCACCTCCACCTTCGAGAAACGAAGCGACAATGTTTCAGTGGCCAAACAACCAACTCCCGCGGTTGAAGTTGGACTCTTGCGGTTGAAGTTGGACTCCCGTGGTTGAAGTTGGACTCCCGCGGTGTATTGCGCGATGTTTACCACCTGCTTCTCGAGACTACGTTTTCAATCCGCACTTTTGTGAAGATGAGGTGGTTTCTAGTCCTCGTTTTGTGCCAGTTGGCGTCAACTGCGGCATCTGACCATGTGAGGTTCACTGCCTCTTTCCCGGCGACGAAGAAAGTCGACGAAGACTTGATCGAGAGATGCCTAAAATCCAGTTTCGACAAAGTGCACCTCCAGGAGCAAGAGATGAAAGAGTTGAAAATTCTGCACATCGACCCACCCTCACCACTTCAGCTGCGACAAAGGCAGCTCGGATATCCTAGCAGCAAGGTTACGTTCGAGTCCAAGATCGAGATCAGCAAGACTGAAGATTTGGACCTGTCGTCGTCGTCGTCTTTTCTGAGGCCAACACCAGCCGTATTCTTTGTCCTTGACGATCTTACAGAGACATGGGGAAAGCTATGGTGCGAGTGCCTAGAAATCGACTTCAAGTGCGTTATCGAGTGGGAACCTTGAGTGAGAAGAGTCGACTCCCCTGCCTTTCTCGCATTGCTAGATTGGGATTCAGAATTCAATCATTGGCTCTCGGAATCAAACTCACCCTCTTCGTCTCGACTGGGTCCGGTTCCAGTAACCGAGTATTTGGAAAGCTTTAAAAACAAGTTACATTAGCTGACTCTACCTCCATGCATGTAGTAGATTTAATAGCATTCGCTGTACTAGTAGTAGACCATGGTAGACACCCCAGCAACGAGCATGGCAGCGGCAAACCATGGTCTTTATGCCACTCTTTGCAATCACTGAGGAAGACACTTCTGCCGACTCAGCAGTATCACCACCCTCTACTGCAGATTAAAGTTCTTCCAGGCGGTTGTGATCGACTCTTCACATCTTCAGCTGGGCCTTCCAAACATATCCAGCCTCCCGCATCATAATGCTGGGAGTATTCTGGCATTCTTTGGCGCACCGTACAAATCCCAACGGGCTGACTAGCTAGTCCGCTACCGTACACCTTCCCGAGTCGAGTCCGGCAGGAGGAGTCTCCTCTGTCCTCTCTCGGCTGAGCATCTATGATTCTCTTTGGACCCTGGAATAGACAGTTGCTTCTTTTTAAAAACGGGCGATCCAATATGCGCTGTAACTCCAAGTCCACAATACGCGCTTTACACTTCACAGCTTAGCAACACTGTCATGTCGACTCGGAATGTAATGCCGTGTAGTGTGCACACGAATCGATGAAGCTTGGGGACATGCAATGGTTTGTTGTTGAGTAAATGAGTATTTGTGGAGCAAGTTCTCTTGTTTGCTCGAAACATATTTCCGTCCATGGGATTCTCGACAGAATGGAAGACATTTCGTCTCCGAAAATGTTTGTCAATATACATGGACGGACAGTGTCATCCAATTGCCTTGCACAGACCAGCCGGACCGGACCGGCATAGAAGGTCACGGAGCGTTTCAACCCAGACGTCCGCCGAAGTATAGTGTCGGGTGTACTCATCCATGCAGGAAAACTCAATTTTGTCGTGTGGTGGAATTGCATGCGCAAATAAACAGAATAGTGGTCACAGAAATTGGTGGCACCAAAAAGTAGCTGTTCTCTGGTTGTACAGTACTTGTATTGTAGGTGGTTGTAGTTGCCACTGTTGTATTGGTCAAAATTCCCTTGCGAGCAATCATGTTTCTTGGCAGATGACGCAAAAGTCATGGGCCATGTACATCTATTTGATGCTCTACGACCACATGGTGATAATCGGTTCGGTTGACGATAAGACTAGAGTTGGAAGCTCCGCTCCTGGCTGGTACTGGTATTTTTGGACGTCTGGACAGAGGATGGCGTTGGTTTCGACATGGACAAAATAATTCATTTGCAAGGCAACGCATCTTTTAAATCTCAGCGATAGTGGAAGGAGGAGGCTCAAGAGGGCAATGAGACTTGCTGTCACTATCAGAAGCAGTCGTAGAAGTACCACCGGTAGCACCGTACTGAAAATAGTAGTTGTAGTGCCGACATTGTCTCTTCCGTCATACCGGTACAATCATACAACGCGTCAATGCCATCATCTTCTTCTGGTTGGAGATCGCCCAAGGCTCGGAGCAACGCAGAACCTGCTTGGGCGCGATGCATGCCGTGGAATCCACAATAGAGCCAACAAGCTGACAGAAACAACTGCTGATCTCGTTGTCTAATGTTATTGTAGTAGGCACAAGGAAACCTTGGTAATCTGACTTCTCGAAAACCCCTTTCTGCAGCAGGGAGAGTTGGAACGATGTGCAATGTGCAACGGTAAAAGGCAGAAAAAGGCTTGGCTGAGGAAGACAGGGACCGTTGAATGTACCGGTACCGGTACGGTACGGACGGATCTTCTTCCCCTTTGGCATCAGTCACAGCTCACTGGTTCCAAAAAGCAAATCTCTGGCTAACAAATGCTTACTTGACCTAGCTAAAAGTTAGCTAATGGCGAAGGGACAAACCAAACCAAACCAAACCAAACCAAACCCAACCAAATGCTAAACCAAGTTCGATACTGAGTAAAGATACGGGGAACGATACCGGTAGATGTTGACATCATACCGGCACGGGAGCTGGCTTTCAGAGACTGGCTAGCTACGGGTAGCTAGCCAGTCTAACTAGAGGTAGGTGGTTTGCCTTCAAATAATAATGAATTTTCATCTATGTATCGTACATGCATATGCATAAGATTAAAAAAGTCCCATGTATTTCTTTTTCATTGTCTTTTCAGCGTCTCCCTTCACCGTGCTCCTCGGAAACGCCTTGCCTCTTATTAGTTGTATCTGGGGCGCTTGTTCGTCGCATTCGCCATCAAATCTGACAGCAGTCTCTTTACTTCCTCCTCATCTCGACTACCGGTGTTTTCGTTGGTTGAACCCTCCGTCGCCTGGGTTGAGTTCGCAGGAGGGTCCCTTGCCACACGGGCGGCCCTTACTAATGCCCTACCATCAGCAGGCATGGAGGCAGCAGAAGCACCGATTGGTTGGGGAGCAGTTTGAGAAGATCCAAATTGACGTACCAATATGTTCATTGTCGCTTCAATTGACGCTGCTGTCTCCTGATTCATCGCAGTCGCGGGAGCAGCTGCTGCACTTTGAGAGTGCACCACTCCTGACTCGATAAAAGCGTTCTGGGACGCAGGTTGAGTCATTCGTAAGGTTGGATCAAGGAGCTGCATAAGGTTTGCCTCAACACCCGCTGGTGTCGATGCAGACCTTGGCCGGGCCAGAGTTGGACTCGCTGCTGTGTTAGGAATCCCCAGTGCCTGGCCAAGAAGCTCCAGTGTGGAGTCGGACACAGAGAGAGCAGAGCCTGTATTCTGATGGGACGAGGCATGTTCAGCCTGGGCTGGCAACCTGGCAACAGATCCAGTACCAAGAAGCTGTTGGATGGCTGCATCAATGTCAGATGATGTGGAGTTACCGGAGGAACTGGTAGGCCGAGCAGACAACAAAGGCGATTGATACTCCGCCTGAGGTGGTAACCTGGCAACAGATTCATTACCAAGAAGCTGTTGAATGGCTGCCTCAACGCACAACGAAGGTGCCCTAGAGCCAGCCTGAGGCAGCAACTGAGCAGCAGGTGCAGTGCCAGATTGATGTACATGTAGAAAATCTAAAAATGCAGCATCGGAACTTGGAGCCGCAGTCTGCGTGGATGAGAGCTCGGTTCGGGTACCGGTCGTGAGAGGCACTCCGCCGGTTTGGTGAAGCACCCGCAAGAGCTCAGCCTGAGTAATTGGTTGCTGCGAGTTAGCTTGTGAGGCCAAATTGCGCTCGGGTGGCTCTTCTCGATGACGGGTATTCAAAGCAAGCGACAATAAATCCCCATCGCTTGGCGTTTCGTCAGCCCGAACAGGCGGATCAGGAGGGCGGTGATCGTTGTTCAAAGTCAAGGATTGCCCACCCTGATTTGCATAAGAAAGCAACAACAACTCTTGAAGGAATTCGTTGCTGGTTTGGCTTTGAACGGTGCCCCCCTGCGAAATGGCTTGTCCGGCCGTCGACGTCCTTGCCGTCATACCGGTATCACCAAACGACAAACCAGCGGGTGCGACACCTCGAGATGTGCCACTACTGAGATGTCCAGCCCCAGTGGCTTGGTTCCCGATAGTAGATGTATTGGTAGCCTGAAGAAGTAAGGAAAGAGCAAGGTCCTGGTGACCTTCGGTAGCCAACGACGAGGCCGCGGAAGGATACGCCACTGGCGCCGCAGAAGCGGCTGCAGCCCTAGCCACATAGGCGGACGTTGAAGGCGTCGTGGCGTTCCTTGCGGCGATTCTAGCAGAGTTCCTATAGCCTTGCACAGACTCTTCAAACCTCATACTCAAGGCCCGCAATTTGTTTTCTGTGGTATTGACTTCTTGTTCGGTCAGGTTGGCCTTTTTCATGTACGTGCCTCTGCCATGATAATCACACTTCTCCATCTTCTTGGAGATCCTTTTAGGATGGCAATGAACGCACTTGGCTAACAACGCTCTTAATGTTTGACCCTTGGAAATGTCCAGTAAGCCATCATGAAAGGCATCCACTAGAGCCTCCACATATGCCTCTTCTGCCTCAGTCCATTCACCACGACGGAGTGGCTCCTTGTCATCAAAGGATATCATCCTTTCTTCCCACAATTCGGTAAGGGTCTTCAGAGCCATACTTACTTGTCCTGCTTAACGAAACTCTGGAATTGATCAATCAACCAAAATCCGGAGGCTGTGTTGTGACTTCCGCTCTTTGCCCTCGATCTTGAAGCGGACTGGTTCTGATCAGGACTAGCTCGCTGTGTGTGCCGTCGATGCTTGAACCTCTACTGCTTGAATCTCTACTGGTATTAGCTACGCTGGTATTAGCTAGTAGCTATACTGCAGTCTTTGGGCAGAGAGGGTTGGCTGTGATAGGGCTCTGCTGCTGTTCAAGCTGGGCGTTCGGTTCCTCTTCTTTTATGCTCACAGTCAAGCTAGCTGGCATTCAACAACCAAACAGGAGCAATTGTTGCGGTGATGCCTCTCTGGAGGCTCGGGATTCGGACGATTCGTTTGCTTCAGTGGAAGTATTACTGACTTGTACGTACCTGGTACGTGCGAACGTTAAAATTGCTACCTAGACTAAGCTTTGCCATCAAAGAGCCAAAACTGCAAGTCATTTGAAAGACATACGAGAAGGGCAATGGGGAACACTTTAATATGTAAACTCACCACTATTATACTGTAGATGGACGCACGCTGCCTGTTTTTCTTAGTACTACTAGTAGTACTACGGGTAGCTAGCTAGGACTCGACTCGAGCTCTCGCATCCAGGATGCAAAGAAGCTTGAGGGCAGGAACATTTAATGAGTCGACATTCGCGGCCTGAGCCTGCGACATCGATGAGCTCATCGATGTGAACTGGCTACGCATGAGTCCGGAGTATCTTCAACTGATGCTGTACTAACCTTTGTACAGTAAGAGCATGATCAACAGTAGCAGCAAAGTGAAGCTCAATCTCTAGGTTTACATGTACTGTCGCTAATGGAGGGTAGCATCGCAACAGCAATTTCAGTCACCATCATTGGCTCGCTTCTTATTAGTCAGTTCACCTGTAAACTGGACTAATCCCGTTGGCGAATCACCGGATCTTTGAAAATATCTTCAAGAGAAAAGGAACGTGAGCTCAATGATATCCCTGTTGCATTGTCACTGCTGGCAGTGATGGTGATGCGCATGGGGCCTACCTTTCTTAGCAGACATGCCAGGGAAATCTCTCAATTATTCCTTGTGGGCGCCGCTGCAGTATGTCAACTGGAAATGGCCATCAAGGAAGACGTCATTGGTCGAAGGAAATTCATTGCGAAGGTTACCGAAGCCGTGTACACTCAGTTTTACGAAACCAACCACCGGAAGAGGAAAGCAGACACTGAGCAGCAGGCTTCTTTTAGAGCACCTGGCAAGAAGAGGAAACCAACAAGACATAATCATGAGCGTGCAATACAATGTGTGGAAGAAGATTGGTTGGGATGTGACGCCATCTTTCTGGATAGAGATTTCGAGATGACATTTCGGCAACTAAGAAGTCATGTGGAGCGCCTCATTCAAGCTTGTGTACGCTACCAGCCAGGGTACTTTTCATCACAGAGGAAAGACGCTTCTGGAAAGCCTAGTATCTCGGTTTGAAGTGAAAATTTTGGGAATTCTGAAGTGTGTAGCTTTTGGTTGCTCTGGTCGCGCATTCAGAGATTACCATCAAATGGGTGTCAACACCTTCACAGAGAATCTCAAGGCATTCTTCAGAGCAATCAAGGCAGATGTTGAGCTCCAAGAGAAGTACATGCGCGTTCCATCCAAGGCAGATGCCAAACGTATTACTCACCTCCACCATCTCAAGCATGGAGTACCTGGAATGCTCTGCAGTATTTATTGCCTCCATGTCTTTTGGAAGAACTGCCCAGTTGCTTGGCAAGGTCAGTTTCGAAATGGCAAGAACAAGCACTCCTCCATCGTCGTGGAAGCAGCCGTAGACTACAACACTTGGGTGTGGTCTTGCTCCATTGGCCACACAGGAACACAAAGTGACATCAATATCTGGGATCAATCGCCCCTCCATCGGCTCTTCCTTTCCCAGAACTTCATTGAAAACATTGACTTTGAATTTGAAGTTGACGGAGAACACTTCAATATGCTGTGGTGTCTTGTGGACGGGATTTACCCTGCTTCAGCAAGATTCGTGAAGACTGTCAGCTTCCCTATCGGTCATGCCGGTAAGATGTTTGTTGAGTGGCAGGAAGCAGCAAGAAAGGATTCTGAAAGGGCTTTCGGCATCGTGGTACGTAAGTTTCAGATCCTTGCAACAAGACCCATCGAGTATTGGGATTTGGATGATGTGAAGAATATCACCTACGGCTGTTTTGTCATGCACAATATGATGGTGGAGCGCCGTGTGAAGGATAACCAAATGGAGGATGCTGACATGTACAGGCTGCTTTGTGATGGGGAAGGTGCCGACGAGGAGAAAGAGGTAATGTTCTGAATGATTTCACTGGATTTGCAAGAGGTTTCGCTCCAAGGAATGAGGACGTTGCTTATCAGATGGCGAAGGCAAAGGAAAGGTGGACCAACCTCAACAGTGATGCCCGCCATGTCCGTCTACAGCGATCAATCATGAACCACATCGCGGCATCTTGGATCCAACACAAGACAAGCGGCAAGAAGTCATCATCATCTTCCTGAGTTTTCTTCCTCTTGTCGAGTTGTGCTGTTTCGAAAGTTCGAAACTGCACCAATTCAGACGCACTGGACTCGATACTTCTTTATTGATCTCCGTATACTTTGCAGTACTGGCAGGCGCAGGTAAGACAGATAAAACTCTAGCAGAGGCGACTGACTCCCACTGACTAAGCTGGACTGAGCTGGCTGGACTGAGCTGACTGGCTCATATTAATTGACTCCGAACAAGTAATCGTCCTGTATAAACCAATACTGTTTTATTGAACTACAACTATATATCTTGTTTGCCTATCACCATGATGCTATTGCAGTTGCGGAATCAAGTCTCTTCTTCATTGTCTTGTCTTGGAACATCAAGATGCCTCCACGATGGTCAAAACGGTGGTCTTGCAGCCTTCAGAATTCTCGCTGGTTTTTTCCTCTTTGCTATCTTCCTTTTCCATGGAAACAATTTCCTTCTGCAACCGGAGAATGCTTCTCTTCTGCAAGAGCTTCTTTTCCATTGCTTGTTCTTGAAGTACTCTTCTTTTTCTGCATCCGACCATTGCAAGACTGAAACCTGGTCAACAAGATGGGTGGAGATCTGACCAATTGCCTCACTGACCGACACAGCTTCCTTCATGGCAGACTTCCCTTCATTGGCACCATTGCTGTCGATGAAACGCTGAATCTTGTCATCCAGAGCCTGTTGTCGCTTACCAGTACCACGAGGTTTCTTGACGTGCTTTTTGACATCGGATCCCTTCCTTCCAGTCTCTTTCGCGGCAGATAACTTGGGAAAGTCCTTGAGGGCATAGTAGCACTCGATGAAATTGAACTTGCTACCCACGGCATGCTCATACATCTCCAGGCAGCGAGCTTTGTGGTCTTCTGGTGTCTCGCCAGAGCGGATGGGATTCTGATTGACAATACCAATCAGTTTGTTGGTGGCATGCTTGATGACTCCAAAGCGATTGACAACACTTCGTTGCTGACGATCACGAGGGAGCTGTTCCTCGTAGTACTCGTTGTGATCATCAACCTTGCTCACGTAATTGGAGAAGAACTTCTTGTTGAAGTCAGCCTGCTTTTGGTCACTGCCGCTGCGAGAATCTTCTGTGCTGGCATACCAAGCTTCGGTGACAAAGAGGTCTTCCTCAGAGGTAAAGTTTTTGCCGCGAGTTTTCTTTTCCTGCTTCTGGGTGTTGTTGAGAAACTGAGACAGCTGTTCCATGTCTGCCTTCTTCTTTTTGTTAGGATCCACAGCGGCAGCCACAACTACCTCCTCGTCGGTGTCATCATCATCGTACGAATCTTTCTGGGTGGCCAACATGTCTGGTGACTCGTCGGTTGGCTCCACATCTTCTTCTTCGCTATCTGATTTCAAGTTCATGCACACTCCACAATGAAGAATTCCAGGGGAGACCTCCTTGGAACAAGGTTCAATGGCATGGCAGTACATGCCACAAGAGCTGCACTTGTGACGGTTGCGTTCAATGCCAGGATAAGGGCACTTGTCCATCAATGCTTCACAGCGAGCTTTACGGGTGCTCTGAAGAGGAGGCATGGGTGGAGTACCCGAACGTGCAGGAAGCACAGCGGCAGCAGCAGCGGCAGCTGGGGCAGTGGCAACTGGTGGTGGTTTGGGACTGGCTCTGCGTCCAAACTTGGAATTAACGAGAGTTGACTTTCCATTGCCAATCTTCCTCTTGTTGTTGTCGCGGCGACCCACCTTCTTGTTGTTGGTAAAACCCATGAGTAAAGCGAATTGATCCTGGGACCAAGGAGACCACGGGGATATTCCTAGGGAATTAGAGTGCTGGTTGACTTGAGGAGGAGTGTCCACTTGCTCTTGCACAGGTTCCAAGAGATTACGCGTGTCTCTGCCAATGACAATATCAGGAGAGGATGCGTACTGCGTCTCTCTTCTTGCTGTTGGGTTTCGAACTGACTGAGATGGTCTGGATTGTTCCAGGAAGACATCCCGAAACTATGAACTATGAACAAGAAGAAGGAGGAGCGATGGTACGTTGACTATTCTATACAGACAAAACCCATGATATTTTGTTGCTACGCAAAAGCTAATCACATGGTTTCTCATTGTCTATTGTCTATCTGAAGATCTTCCTTGGTGGCAGTAAAACTTGCCTCCAAGACAGAACGATCATTCAATGTATCCATTTTGAATACATTCAATGATGCTATTTCGTGTCGAGTTCCTCCATTAGCAGCTCACAGCAAATTGGACGAATTTGGTGTGAGCGGCCACCTCCTGTAAAATGTGCGCAAACATTTGGTCCTGACGGAAGCTTATAATGGGCCATTGATGGTGACCATGGTCTCCTTTACGGCAAAACCTGAGTAAGTGAGTTTGCGCTTAAATTTGATGCCACTGTTGATCGTGCTCTAATGAAGTTTAGTGCACTCGGCACCAGAACTCCAGCCTGAAGGCTTGTCTCTGTCAATCCCAGTAAATTATATTTAGAATACTCACTTTTTGCTGCAATTGATAAAGTCTTTTTCAAAGGGGAAATCAGGAGGACTATTCAATCATTCAATCCGAATCCGTGGTACCGGTATGGCGAGTACTTTTCAAACATCTCGAGGATTTTCTACGCTACCGGCAGTATCGATAATACTGAGTACATAGCTTGCTGCTTGCTGGGGGAAATCACTGAGTCTACCAAGAGCATGCCAAGTACCGGTAGGCAGGTTCACATACAGGTATTGTTGGATGCTGACCAGTGCTTATTAGCGTTCAGTACAGATGCGACGATGCGACATAAAGTCGTTGCACCTACGGGGGGACTCCGGTGCCGTCAGCGCCAGGGTACCCGCATTTCAACATTTGAGCGTAGAAGGAAGCAGGCAGTGGAAAAAAAGGAATAGCTAATCTGCTATAAAGAAATTACCGTCTACAAAGCAGTCAGCCATGTAGCAGCCCCAGAGTTTGCGTTGTTTCGAGGAAAGCAAGGATTCAACCTCTTTGGCTGGTTCTGACCAGCAGCTAAGCATCCTTGAAGAAGACAACAATGTTGGTTGGAACAACCATGACAAGAACTATTACAAAATCTTAGCTTTTGCAGGCGACATAGATGGCCGGCAAGTACGCTGTAAGAGCAAAACTGCAGCGACCGTACGTGCCATTGAAAGAAATCCGGGTAGAAGCTCAATCTCCTACTAACTAGTCTTTGCCACCACTTTTCAGCAGCTGGCTTGAAATGCTCGGCAATCTGCCTACTAAAAACGAAAGATACCACTTGCTTGGATCTCTGAATCTACCTCTTGCTGGCTTGGTAGGATTGAATATGGCCAAACATGATTGATTGCCCCAAGCTCTACCGGTAGCAGACACGTACATTAGACTACATGTACCGGTCGGAGAAATACTAAGATACTAGTACTCTCTGGCTTTCTCCCCCACTGTACTAGTACCGATACAGATCACGGCGGATTGATTCGATTCTGATTCATTCGCGTCTTGCGCTCTGGAAGGGATCATTCGATTCGATTGATCATTCGATCCGATTCATCGTTGAGCTCGCAGAAACAAGCCGGGCTAGCCAGTACTGTACTAGCTAGACTGGACTAGCTAGCTAGACTAGCTAGGTAGTAGAGCGATTCATAATATGCGGCCTCGTCGAGATGAGGCGGAACGGCGGAACCGGGGTGGGACTATCTTGGACTTTCGTAAGATTCGATTCGATTCGATTCGATTCGAAGGACAGGAAACTATCCGTGACTTTGTCAACCCTTGGCGACTGTCCCGATCTTCAGCCTCCAGCCTAAATGGTTGATGATCAATTATTTTTAAAAGCAGAGAAAGGCTCTCTCAAGCAATTTAGACACCGCGCCTTAAAAAATTTGCTACATGAGGTATAGTAGACTAATAATAAGGAAAATTTATTATGTATGTGAACAAAATTCTTGCAAAACTTGGC